TACCCAAAACCAAAAAAATAAATCCTGAACTTCTATTTAACTAAAACAACTATTTGTTTTGATTTAAGAATTGCTATGTACAATGAACGGCAAAAATATTTTTCTAGACATTTAACATTGAGCTGCAAAAATTTCTTTACAGCCTCTAACTTTTACCTGGTTGGCTGCACGCGCCTGATGAAGCTAATTTGTTTAGCGAAATATTGCGTGAATAATATGAAATATAACAACTAATTTTATAACACTCATTAGTGTGTTAAAGTTACATTCTTAGGCACTTATATATATATATATATATATATATATATATATATATATATATATAACATTTTCCAAAAGACCAAAAAAGTGAAAAAGTATATTTTAACAAAACGCATTTGACTAGCAGGTCGAACAACTGATGTTCTCAAACCCTGCTGACTGCCATTGGCGATTGCCAAATAAACGGATCACAAGATGTAACAAAATGGATCTTATTATTGATTTATTACCAAACAGAAAACAATAAATTTGCGGAAAAGATGGTATACCGCAAACATGAGGTGCAAAAATTTGTACACCATATCCGGATTTCGACAATTAATGTCTCTTCAGTGATGTTAGGAATCGAAACGGTATTTCTTAGGCCATATAATTTACCTCAATTTAGGATAGACTCTTGAATTTTGAAAGAGTCGAAATAGGATGAACGGATCATATAAACCCGAAGGCAAATATAATACAAGCCCAAACGAAAAAATATAAACAAATCTAAATTGAAAACAACGTTCAAACCTATGATTGCGTTGGATAAAAACCGCAATTTTTATACGTGTGCATGCAAAACGAATTTCTTGGTAGAGGGGTCTAAATACAGCACCAACAACATTTTCCAAAAGACCAAAAAAGTGAAAAAGTGTATTTTAACAAAACGCATTTGACTAGCAGGTCGAACAACTGATGTTCTTAAACCCTGCTGAATGCCATTGGCGATTGCCAAATAAACAGATCACCAGATGTAACAAAATGGATCTTATTGTTGATTTATTACCAAACAGAAAACAATAAATTTGCGGAAAAGATGGTATACCGCAAACATGAGGTGCAAAAATTTGTACACCATATCCGGATTTCGACAATTAATGTCTCTTCAATGATCTATAAAAAGGACCAACCAGCAAATTTACTATGTACCGGATCGTCTAGAATAGACGATACTGTGCAGATAAGGAAAAAATTATATAAGTCTAGAGATTTGCACAACGATACTAATATAAGATGGTATTATACGAACGAAGATGTTGTTATTAAATCGTGTTGACAAATATTTCGGCTTAAAAAATAGCCTACTTCAGTGTCGATAATTTTAACAATACTGATTATATGTATAAAAATAGCTCAGTTATACAGGTAAGTTTTGGTCTATAGATTTAATCCAATATCCTGAACATCATAATATAAAACAAAACTCGATACTCAATCAGGTTCAAGAGTACGTAGCTGATGCATCCAGAACCTTTCTCTCTGTTTTCTCCTTTGGGAGTACCAATTTTGGTTTACCTCAATTATTTGAAAGGTGATATTTTCAAACGTATGCCCTGTTCTTAAGAGGTGTATATATACCGGACATGTACTCCCGGTTGCTACAAACAATGTGGTCGAAGGAACTGTTTGTGTTGTAAAGCTGCCAATACAAGCAGTTCTTTCATCAGCTCCGTTACTAAACAAAATTATACCATCTACTCAAATTCCAACTGTAAAACGGAGAACTCAATTTATATATTAACATGTGACACTTGTGGCATTCAGTATGTGGGAGAAACAATGGACACATTTAATATTCGGCTCAATAACCATCGTTCATGGTACAAAACCAAAAAAAAACTGTCCTCTCACAAGACATCTTCGTTCAACGAAACATTCTTTTGATAATGTTTCTTTCCAAATCATAGAAGTCAACACCGAGTGGGACACCACGGCGAAAAGGAGAAGAGAATTTTTTTGGGTCCACCAACTCCACACTTTAGAACCTGGTGGTCTTAACGAAAAAGATGAGAAAAGATACAGGAAAGATAAAGAATAATTTAGTACACAGCATATCGTCCTTTTTATCCTGTAATATTGGCCAATGGACGTTGCTAACTTCAACTACCAATTTTGTAAAAATCTTGAACTTCATCCAAATTATGTATTATTTATGTATTATTTTCAAGGCAGCTAAATTCAAGTACAACATATACATTGAGCTGCAAAAGTTTCCTCTCATCTACATCCGATTTCACCATTCTTATATTTACATACTAAATAGTGTGTTAAAATTACATTGTTAGGCAATCTATATATATATATTTAGACTTATTTTATATATATAAGTGCCTATATATATTTATATTTTTTCGTTTGGGCTTGTATTATATTTGCCTTCGGGTTTATATGATCCGTTCATCCTATTTTGACTCTTTCAAAATTCAAGAGTCTATCCTAAATTGAGATAAATTATATGGCCTTCCAAATACCGTTTCGATTCCTAACATCACTGAAGAGACATTAATTGTCGAAATCCGGATATGGTGTACAAATTTTTGCACCTCATGTTTGCGGTATACCATCTTTCCCGCAAGTTTATTGTTTTCTGTTTAGTAATAATTTAATAATACGATCTGTTTTGTTACATCTTGTGATCCGTTTATTTGGCAATCGCCAATGGCAGTCAGCAGGGTTTAAGAACATCAGTTGATCGACCTGCTAGTCAAATGCGTTTTGTTAAAATATACTTTTTCACTCATTTGGTCTTTTGGAAAATGTTGTTTGTGCTGTATTTAGACCCCTCTACCAAGAAATTTGTTTTGCATGCACACGTATAAAAATTGCGGTTTTTATCCAACGCAAACATAGGTTTGAACGTTGTTTTCAATTTAGACTTGTTTATATTTTTTCGTTTGGTCTTATATTATATTTGCCTTCGGGTTTATATGATCCGTTCATCCTATTTTGGCTCTTTCAAAATTCAAGAGTCTAAGTTTATTGTTTTCTGTTTAGTAATAATTTAATAATACGATCTGTTTTGTTACATCTTGTGATCCGTTTATTTGGCAATTGCCAATGGCAGTCAGCAGGGTTTACGAACATCAGTTGTTCGACCTGCTAGTCAAATGCGTCAGTTTGTTCAAATATACTTTTCCACTCATTTGGTCTTTTGGAAAATGTTGTTTGTACTGTATTTAGACCCCTCTACCAAGAAATTTGTTTTGCATGCACACGTATAAAAATTGCGGTTTTTATCCAACGCAATCATAGGTTTGAGCGTTGTTTTCAATTTAGACTTGTTTATATTTTTTCGTTTGGGCTTGTATTATATTTGCCTTCGGGTTTATATGATCCGTTCATCCTATTTTGACTCTTTCAAAATTCAAGGGTCTATCCTAAATTGAGGTAAATTATATGGCCTTCCAAATACCGTTTCGTTTCCTAACATCAATGAAGAGACATTAATTGTCGAAATCCGGATATGGTGTACAAATTTCTGCACCTCATGTTTGCGGTATACCATCTTTTCCGCAAGTTTATTGTTTTCTGTTTAGTAATAATTTAATAATAAGATCTGTTTTGTTACATCTTGTGATCCGTTTATTTGGCAATCGCCAATGGCAGTCAGCAGGGTTTAAGAACATCAGTTGTTCGACCTGCTAGTCAAATGCGTTTTGTTAAAATATACCTTTTCACTCATTTGGTCTTTTGGAAAATGTTGTTTGTGCTGTATTTAGACCCCTCTACCAAGAAATTTGTTTTGTATGCACACGTATAAAAATTGCGGTTTTTATCCAACGCAATCATAGGTTTGAACGTTGTTTTCAATTTAGACTTGTTTATATATATATATATCCAACGCAATCATAGGTTTGAACGTTGTTGTTGTATAAACAAGTCTAAATTGAAAACAACGTTCAAACCTATGATTACGTTGTTTTCAATTTAGACTTGTTTATATATTTATAAACAAGTCTAAATTGAAAACAACGTAATCATGTTCGAACGTTGTTTTCAATTTAGACTTGTTTATACAACAACAACGTTCAAACCTATGATTGCGTTGGATAAAAACCGCAATATATATACATATATCTGTTTATAGGACATACTATATTGTTAGTATACTCAACCTTCTTGAAATACTATTCCGGTCAGTTGACCTTTAATAAATATTCACATCAAAATGCATAGCATGATCTGTTAAAAAGGAAATACAGTTATAATATAGAAATTATACATAATATATAGTCATTTTAAATTCAATATGTACTGAGACTATTATACTTTATTATGTCCCAGATATATATATTCATGACATTTGCAGAGACATTTTCAATATATGAAATAATGAAAATCACTTTTAAAAATACAGTATATTTATAAAAAGAACCCAGATTGTAATGCATGTTTCTATTTTTATTTATTTGAAAAAAAAATCGATTTCTTGACGCTAACAGACACATATTTATATGTCTCTGACGCTAAATTTGATTTCCTTATTTGATTTGATTTGATTTTTTCGTTTCTATTAGATAAGATAAGAAAACATTATTTTGATTTTGATAAGTCAAATATACAACACAAGCTCTTTTGACCGAATATAAAAACATATACTTAATATAAAAACAGTCTAAGATATAAACAACCTGTAATAAAGTTGAATCTCACACATAGCATGCAATAACAATTTAGCAGTAAATTTAGAATAAGGTTAAATAGATATAAGAAGATGTGGTATGAGTGCCAATGAGACAACTCTCCATCCAAGTCAAAATTTATAAAAGTAAACCATTATAGGTCACAGTACGGTCTTCAACACGGCATGGTTTACCTATTTAAAAGTTTTAGATTTAGATTAAAAAATATGGTGACTATTAGAAAATAGATTACTTTTATAAAAATCAAATAAAAAAAGCTTGGAACTATAATTGTACTGAATTAGTCTTCTTGTCGCTCCTTGGCTCTTCTTGTCTCTAATTAGTGAGACCCGACGAGACTGTAAACGAGAGGCGCGTTTTTGAATAAGATTCAAGAAATTTGTCAACATTGGACAAAGGTAAACAAAAAGTCATCCATCACAGTTAGATCTGTATTCACATAAGATTGCATATTTTTTTTATTCTTCTGTGATCTGAATATCTGTCACTGCTCCACGAAATAGCAGAGACATAGAGCCTACACGAGATTAGCAGCGCTAATCGTTCACAGGCACTTGTTTCTATTCATGACCATGGGCTAGCTGCGAAAACGTAGCTCTATTGTCCTTTGAATTTTTTTTTGCCATAGTCCGCAAATATCAAAATCATCAATAGGACCTTAAGAGCTACGTTTTCGCAGCTAGACCATGGGCATGGGAAGATCCACTATCAAGTAAATATACGTTGATAGTGGATCTTCCCATGGATAGAAACAAGTGCCTGTGTAATCGATACCGCATTTATCCCACACTGATATCTACGATAATTTCTTCTGGCGAGATAGTTCAAAATCATAAAATTTCTTCTGGCCAGGCAGATGGTTCAAAATCATAATTATGATGTCTTATCGCTACTTAACTAACACGCCGTGTATTAATGTCCATCAGATGTGTCACCATACCATATCAAGATCAAGAAATGCTTTTGCTGTGACGCCTAGGAAGGTTAATATATATCTCCCGATTTTCAAGCCCTTTTCCGTCCCTCCCGTTAAAAATTCAAATCTTACGATTTTTCAAAAATTCCACCCCCAAAAAATTGTCTGTATGACATAAAAAATGAGGAGGTGTGGTGTGATGGCCAACGAGACAACTATCCAAAGCAATTATAAGCCACTGTACGCCCTTCAACAATGAGGAAACCCTACCTTATAGTCGGCTATATAAGGCCTATAGACATGAAAAATTTGAAACAATAGGCCAATTCACGGTTATTGCAGCCATATTGAATAGGGGGCAGATTCAGTGTTTCAGCTAGGCTTTTGGGGGCTTTAGTCATTTTTGCGCGAGATGAAAATCAACCGTGTTTTGGGTAAAAGCAATGGACCAAAGATATGTATTACTAGCTATACATCTTTCAAGGAATTAGGCATGCTCAGGCAGTTATTGCATAATTTGATAGATGTGGTGCTTAAATATGAAGATTATAATAAGATCTAATAAGGATCCAGATTTCTAGTTAACGATTTCACTTAGGTTATTTTCAGGGGACATTCCTGATCAACTAAAGTTGGGTTCCTTTTTTTTTAAACCAGGTCCAGGAATCACAGCATAAATGAACCTGTAACGACTATTTCACTGCATAATTATTATCCTTGTAAAAACAGTTAAATCAATATGTGGAATTCATTTTTATAAGCTTTGAACCAAGGATTTGTACAAATCCTTGATGGAACGATTCTAATGACTGTATATTGTTAATTAATAAAGAATAGATCCTGTTTACTTTCGATTTTTAAACGAAATGAAAACGGGAAGTGACAGGAGGATAATAAATTCAGAATGAATCTGGATTCATCTACAGATTGGTTCGTTTTTAACAAAAGGCAGGAAATTATCATATTTCAAAATCTAGTTGCTTAGTGAGAAATATGTTTGTCTCCTTTGTTTATTTTGATACCAAATGATATCGTATTTTACGTTTTAATATCTAGTTTATAAGAATACTTTCAAGCATGCATATAGTAAAAGAAGCACCTGTTTGACTCATGGAAATATTACGGAACATTTTGAATAAAGTTCTTTCTCTTTAATCAAAATTGTTGAAAGTTTTTGATGAAAAGTTATATAAAATATGACGAAAACTCGTTCATATGACGAAACTACGACAAACAAACTTCAAATTGTGATCGTTTGAGAAATATTGAAATTAAAATGCGAACTGTCCGCAGGGGAAAACATTTTGTTCAAATGATGAAACTGCAAATTGTGATCGTTTGAGAAATATTGTAATTGAAATGCCGACTGACCGATTTTAGTGGGAAAAATAATTATGATGGTCAATAATTTATGAGGTTCATTAATTAACGGATTAGTGACCCATCCGATGGCGATAAGCGGATTACCTGTAATCACAACTTATAACACCTGTTGTAAATGTTAATTAGATGAGAATCATAAACTTGTCAAAAACATGAAGACAGGTAGAATTATAGTATTTTCATGCGAAAATATTTTTACACTTTTCAAATTTAAGTGATGAAATTGATTTGAAAAACTTTAGTCATTTTGAAAACCTTTTCGTAAATGACGAGCGCTAACAAAATCACTGGCAGATTTTTGGGATGGAGGTGGAAGTAGTAAGAAAGTACTTTTGTTTCAATGATGTTTTTCAAAGAATTTTCACCTCCATTATGAAAATCTGCCCTCTTTTCAATATTACTGCAATAACCATGAAAGGCCTATTCAAACATTTTCTGTCAAAGGAGAAAATTAAACAATTTATGAAAACGAATATGACAGACATAAACCAATGACAACCACTGTACTACAGGCACCTGACATTAGACAGCATGAACGTTAACAAATGATTAATTTTTTTTAGTTTGTTTAATCAATCTCATCATGAAGTTTTTGTAACCGTTTGTTAGAATGTTTTCGAGTGTAACTGTCATGAATGTTTGTATATATATCAGGTTTAAGGTTGTATTTTATCAACCGAACTGCGAGTACACTCTGAATAGTTTAAGCCTGCCATTTGTTTCTTATTCATGGCCACAAAAATGCATTTACAAAAGCTCAAATTAGACCCAGACGATTTTGGGACATGTTAAAGGAAAATCTTTTTTTCCTATCACAGCGATTTTGGGACATGCTTTAAAAAGTGATTTCTTTCCGATCACAAAAAAAACCCTTTTTTTATTTATTTTATTTTATTTTTTTGGCCTCTGATCTTATGGTCCTTAACAGATTGGAAAATAGGCATAGAATGAGGCAGGTCAAATAAGCCTGAAAGCTCTTTTCAAAATACAGGAAACCCAGTTTGCTGTTAATTTGGCAGTTCATTCCTTGTGTCTATTACCTTGAAAAATAGAAACTTTCAACTGCAAAAATTATCTGTAAGTTCGTTAGATAAGATCAACAAATTAACCAACATTGCCGAAATTGTCAGTCATGGAGATTTTGAAAGTTGGAAAGTATGTTACTACAACACAAATGTACAAATGTATGAATTTGAATATAACTTTATTTTAAAATTTTATTTATAGATTATTTTAGCATGCAGAACACACGTGAAGAATTAATAAATGTTGCTGAAAATGGAGGCCTCGACCAATTTGTTTCTTTTTTGAAATTGGTAATTATGTTGAATTTTCAATATAAAGTTGATTCATTATTATATGTTGTGGGTGTTGGTTAACCATGAATTCAAGTATTCAGCACCTTTTGGTTTGTATGCAGAATTTGTAAAAATCATGAATCTAAGTACATGTATCCTCAAAAATATAATTTTACCTAAAAATTCCATGAAATTAATACTAAAAATACCCTTTTCTACTAATACTGATAGTATATACAGGAATTAAACATTTAAAACATTATTCTAGCTGTCATAAAGTGTATGCTGAACAACTGCTTAGACAGCAAGCAGTGTTTAAAAATTATAAACCTGGCCTTGGATTCAGGTGGAAAAATTTTAAATAAACCTGTATTTCTGATACATATTATTAACAATGCCTCATTATTCTATTCATTGTTGTGAACTCCTTGTACTAAACAAAATTATTTTTTACATAAGATTTATATCCAATCAGAGACTCATTTCTAGAAAGCTATTGCTGAGTATATATACTAATCTTAAGAAAAATGTAAGTGGTTTATTTACATGTACCTTATGTCATGTATGTACCTGAGATAATAATGACTTTTTTTTAAGTGCAAAACAGATGGGCATGATTTACAAGAAGTGTTGAGTGGCTGTAGCAAGTCTCAACTGGACAAATTATGGGACAGTATACAACAGAAATGTGCCACTACATTTATGAGTTTAGAGGTTGCAGAAGAGAATGAAGATCAAATGCAAGAGGTACACTGCCACTATGCAAATACAGTCAAACTCGCTATAAAGGTCACCTCTAATAGTCTAGTCCCACTGTAAAAATACCTATGCATTTTGAATCTCAATTCAAAGGTCACCTCTATTAGTCTAGTCCCACTGTAAAAATACCTATGCATTTTGAATCTCAATTCAAAGGTCACCTCTATTAGTCTAGTCCCACTGTAGAAATACCTATGCATTTTGAATCTCAATTCAAAGGTCACCTCTATTAGTCTAGTCCCACTGTAGAAATACCTATGCATTTTGCATCTCAATTCAAAGGTCACCTCTCTTATAAGGTTAGTTTCCCCGAGTCTGACATTTACATTGAATTTCAATCAGTTGCTGTGATGGTTGCATGTTATTCATCTTTTTTCTCTCTGTCCATAGTTTCTATTTATATTTGCCAGTCGTATTATGGTATACCATTGTCCGTTCATCCAACCATCTGTCATTCTGTCGTTCCCTCCATCTGTCTGTCAATCCTTCAGTTAACACTTTGTACGATAATTCAAATTTGCTCTAACCTACTCGCATGTTATTTTAATACAACTTAAGGATTGACAGAAGAAAGCTCCTTTTTGATTTTAAAAATTTTGGCTTTGTCGTTATACAGGATTTTAACAGTTTCAACTAAGGCAATTTTTTGGGGTAAAGTATATTCATGAATTCAAAACCCATATGTGGCTGCCTTGATAGTTATCAATTTTTCAAACTTTATCACTACTTTTGAAATACACAAAATATAGTGCATCAATCATAACATTCTGTACATCCTATCCATGAAAATTTCCAGAAATTTATCAATGAAATATATGCTCAGATATTCAAGTTGCAAAATGATGTAATACTTGTCAAGACAATTACATAACTTGTGTAAGGTGCAGGAATCTTATACCTGTCCTAATCCTTGTTAAAGTAATCTTTAAAATTGGAGTTATCTTCCTTTGTCCGTTATTGTAGTTGAATCAACCAATTCTTTTTACAATGCAATGTTTAATTTTACTTCCAACTGATAAATTAAAGCAATATTTACCCTTCATTGCTAACAAGCACTTTTATTACATATTGTTGCAAGAGTGGTTTTTAACTGATTGAACTAACCTTTTTATACTGTATCATCAAGGAAGTACATTTTTCTCCCCAACACTAAAAATATAAATGAACAAGGATTTTACCCACCAAACTTATTCAAATTAAATATTGTGATCTGCTTTTATTGTCTTAGGCACATGTTTTTTTAATTTGTTGGTTTACAGATTTTTTATATGAAAGCGTGCTCAGTTGGTAAAAAAAAATTATTAAAAAAATCTTACAAGTCATAAATATGTATAAGATAAATATATATTTCAGCTTACTAATAATATTTTTGGTATGCTATTTTGTCACCATTTCTTAAATTTAGGTTCCAAATATTATTGCTTAAACATACAATGCATGACATCGTCATAAAATTTTGTAAAATGGGGTGCCTGCACAAACAAACAGGAAAATAAATGGTAATTTCACTAACGAGTAAAAACAGCTACACGTGACTTTATGTCAACTTTTAGGCAACATGGTGAATAATGAGCTTCAAGCAAGAAAACATGAAATACAAACTACAAACACTATGCATGAAGCATATAACACTTTACCAGATGTGTCAAAAACGAATAGTCTAGAGAATAGAATAGGAAATCGGTTTCATGCTTTGTCTGGCAATCCTGTTTTTGATATCCAAACGACCAACATATTTATAATCTATAAAACAAGAAAATTCAAAAATGTTTGTGGATATCTCTTACTTTAAACTTGACGTCTTTCACGTATGGACGGGTAGATGAAAATCTTACTGAATAATGTCAAAAAAAGAAAAACAAACTTTTTGTAATGGGTTTTTATCATAGGTTTTGTTCCAGAAATTATTTGCTCAAACAATATTTGAAGGTCAGTTATGCTTGTCTATTTTTAGAAACTCAAATTATGTATTATTTTTAAGATTTTTATTTTTTAGAACAAAATATGTAATCACTTCCGTTAATCTTTGTCATGCTAAAATAATGAATTTAACTTCATGAAAATGCTGATAATCAGATATTTTTATTTATATTTCAAGGGTAATGTATTTGTTAGGGTGGCCTGGAATGAAAATGCATGAAATGTCAATTTAATTTTTTTTCTGAAAATCGGAAAAATAGGGTCAGCGGATTTGTAAATCAACATATTAAAAAACATTGCCTTATTGGGTTTTAAAGATGAGAAATGCATGTTCACTGCAGATGTTTGCATAACATGTTTTAAGTAAATTATTAAGTAAATAACATTTAAATTTTACTTTAAATATGCTTATCTGATTTACAGGAATTACAGAAATTGCTAGACGTTTTGGAAGGTGTTGTAAACCTAGCATCAGCAGCTATAAACCAGCAAGAAATCTATGTTCCAGTCTCCTTATATTCTACTTCAGTTGTCCTAAATGGTACATTTTTATTATTTACATATAACACTTTAAATCCCCTTGTGTTTGACCGGGGGGGGGGGGGGGGGGGGGGGCTTTTATATTGTCTTTTAAAAAAAATATCATAATTGACTTGAGAAGGCCACATAAAATACTGTGCTTGTTATCGAGGAACCCGTACACAGTGTTCTTCCCAGAAAGGTCCAAAGATTGTTAGTGAGTAACCTTTTTGTCGAGCCTGCCTCTTTTGTCGCAAAAGCGAAACATAGCGATCCTACATTTCGTTGTCGGCGGCGGCAGCGTCCACAAATATTCACTCTGTGGTTCAAGTTTTTGAAATTTTAATAACTTTCTTAATCTATCCTGGATTTCTACCAAACTTGGACAGAAGCTTGTTTATGATCATAAGATAGTATCTAGAAGTCAATTTTGTTAAAAAAATAAATCCTGTTTATCCGTATTTTACTTATAAATGGACTTAGTAAGTTTCTCTGCCAGTTAACATTACATTCACTCTGTGGTTAAAGTTTTAAAAATTTTAATAACTTTCTTAAACTATCCTTGATTTCTACCAAACTTGGACAGAAGCTTGTTTATGATCATAAGATAGTATCCAGAAGTCAATTTTGTTAGAAAAAAAAAATCCTGATTATCCATATTTTACTTATAAATGGACTTAGTTTTTCTGCCAGTTAACATTACATTCACTCTGTGGTTAAAGTTTTAAAAATTTTAATAACTTTTTAAAACTATCCTGGATTTTTACCAAACTTGGACAGAAGCTTGTTTATGATCAAAAGCTATTATCTAGAAGGAAATTTTGTAAAAAATTATTTCCTGTTTTTCCGTATATTACTTATAAATGGACTTAGTTTTTCTTCCAGTTAACATTACATACAGTCTGCAGTTAAAGTTTTTAAAACATTTATTAGATTCATAAACCATCCTGGATTTTTACCAAACTGGGACAGAAGCTTTTTACAATCAAAAGATGGTATCTAGAGGAAAATTTTTAATAATTTTTTCCCCATTTTTGTTGAGCCTGCAACTTTTTTACAAGCATAACTTTTTTCATACATTTCAAACGTTTTATTTCATTAACTGTAAATCTATTATGTGCATTCCCCTATCACACTGAAAACATAGGCAACAGCAAAAGTAGGCGAGACACTGGGTTCCATGGAACCCTTACAAATTTTTTTTAGTAAACTATTGTGATGCGAATCAATCCTTCAGAAATACAATATGAATTTAAAAGCTTATGATGCGCAAGGTGTTTAATTATGTACACTATTTATAAATTATCATGAAATATAATATATTATATAATCATTTTACACACACATAAAACACATTGATCATGTTGATATCACAGTCCATTTATAGAGTTAACGTTAAAGTCCAAATTTAGTAATTTCAAGAGAATATTATCCTGTTCCTTTGAGCTTTCCAGTGCTGAACAGCTTAGATATGTCCATGTCTGGTGCATCTGCTCCTTCTTAATATATTGTATTATTATTAAAAAGGTTTTTATTTTTGAGAATACAACTCTTTAAAACAAAAGAATTAAAATGAACAGCTGACTTGTTCTTTTGTCGTATTAGAATAGCTTTTTATTATTTATCAATGAGAAAATTCAATATTTAATTCCACGATTAATCAGGAAAGCCATGCGTTTATACGTTTCGTATTTGTATATCAATCTTTTCCCTTAATTCTAACCCTGAAACACTGAAAAAAGTATCTAAGAATAATATTAACCTATTCGATGATATAAATCTATGCAATTACGCAATCTGATCAGTAAATCAGAAAATTCCCTTGTACACAGACATTTTTGTTTTTTTTTCTGATGTATATTTCTCATGACACATGATGTTGATATTACAAATAAATGTTCTTAAAAATGTTGTTTTTTGTTAAAAATGACAAATTTTGAGAAACTTCTTTTTGTGCTAGAATTTCAATGAAATTGATAATTTAATACATAGGACAAATAATGTGTTATTCCAAATTGCTTCCTGTTGTCAAAAAATATCTGCTATAACACATGAAATAATTCATTTAAACAGAAGTTTATACAGTATCTATGAAGAACATGCTATCCTCAATTGATTTATTAACTGTCAAAATTTAATCATCAGCCACTATTTTCAAAATGGCTACCAACATACAATTACCTTCCAAATGCATATTTCATTGAAATTTGACATTTTAAGTTTGTAAAAAGAATTGTAAAAAATTATCCCTCTGACATGTAAATCTCAATTTAAAAATGTTTATTGGGAACCATTTTCAAAATAGTCTGAATTTTTAAAAACAACACCATTGCTGGCATGTCAGTTTTAAAGTTATTAATTGTGTTTTCCAGGACTTAAGGATTATGTACCCTTTTGTTGTTTCAATGCTGAACATATTGAAATTTTATAGAAAATCAATAGCTTTTCCCCTTAAACTCCCTTAGAACAAATTTTTAAATAAAGATATTAGTTAAAACAAGAAAAAATATATGGAACTATTCAAGTACACCTCAGGGGTTCAAATTAACATTTGGTACTGGAAGGTTCAGGACCTTTGACACTCCAAGCTGAAAGGTCCACAACCTAAATTCCAGGTCCTACTTTTACTTGAAATATTTCCTAACATAGTAAGATACAAGTAACAAAATTAATGTGCTGTTGGTGTTAGGTCAACTTGTTTCATTGTCAAAGTCACTGTTGTATAAAATATTTAATAACAATTGTAATTGTCTTGTATATTATAAATTCAGATAATTAATTTTTTTTGTTATTGAGGAGGGTGTCACCATGGGTGGGTGTGTTGTCTCAACTATTGGTAATTTATTACTACTTATACCATTTTATAAAACAGTTCAAATTCAAAGCTGTTTAAGCAGAGACGTACATACATGTGTATATATATATGTCTCTGGTTTAAGTGTATCATATCTAGTTGCACTATTATAATGCATTAGTTCCTCTGTGAAAATAAGATAAGAAACTTCCAGATTTGTACTGGTCCTTTAAAATTGAGAAGACATTGTAGTAATACGTTTACACTATACAAAAATCTACATGTAATATCAATATTTATTAATGATAAAGAAAATTACTGTCACATTTTTTTGGATTTTGAGATGAAAATTTATGAACTAAAAGTAATTTTGAGTTTCTGTAAAAAAATATTTCCTACTTTTTCTTTCTTTTCAATATATCTTGGTTTTCAATTCTAGTGTTTATATTTTATCATCATAGATATATTTTGTCAACTGCCTGGAATTATTATTTTTTCATTGTATTTGATCGGCAAATTTGGAATTACCCTTATCCGCTCCGGAATCGGATCCGTTTTTTGTTATTTTCTTCATTTCCGGTTTATGGCATCCAATGTTTTTCAATGTTGTTTTGTCAGTCAGATACGATTTTACTCGGATTTACACATAACTAGTTGGCAATTTTCGGTATAAAGCTATTGGTTGAACAAAATGAACATCGCTGTCATGAATAATAATGATGAAAATAAATTTTGAGATTGTTTGGAAATTTTTGTTTAAAAAGGTTGGCAAAGTTTATTTTTATTTTCTTTCAAACCGAAGGTCCGTCGGGCGTAGCTTGTAACCAAAACGAGAGTCCGACTGCAAAAATGGCAGGTCTCGGACCACCGCTAATTTGAACCCCTGACACCTTCTAAGGAGTGCTCAACTTAATTTGATTTGCCACAAAATCCCATTTTCTATTAATTGAAACACAATTATTGCTATAAAGGAGGTCGACATGCCCCTTTGGCATATGTACAACATGGCACATATCTTTTATTGAGTATTTTTGCTGTTTTAGTATTATTGCACAAAAAAAATTCCATAATACACAGGCCTACAGAAGGGTCATAAATCTTTAGAACAAGTGTAAGGTATTTCTTTTATTTCAGGATTGCTCTTGCCTTTGCCAGAGAAAGCAGAAAAACTGAAAAATATAATGTCACATTTATTTGAAGTTTGGTGGCAGAAAGAGATACAGGGGGCAGAAGAATTAATGTCAAACACATTTATCTATCTTTTGCAAAGGAGTCTTCAAACTCAAACAGTAAGTCATCACAAACATAGAAAAAAAGACAACTCAAAACAGAGAAGTTGAAAGGATTTGTTTAAAAGACAAGACTGAAGTAAAATCCTCAAGTATGTTTCAAGATAATCTCTAAGGAATCGGCTTTTAATTTTTTTTGGTGGAAGAAGACCTTGAAGTCTTCTGAAATCCTATACTGCCGGCTGTAAAGTCATTGAACTGTCACCAGGAGTGTTGCCGTATCCCTTTCTGTGCTTTACAATTTCATTACTTCCGTGCCATATCTTAACACCGATGTTTACTCTTGATCGGTTTCAAGTTTATTAAATAGCATCTGCATTATTTTATTAAATAAATGTACAGTTAGGCTTGAAAAAAAAAACCAATCACTATCATTAGTGTTATAATTTCTCATGTTTTAAAGTTTTAATATCTACCTTTTTATTTATGTTAATTATTAGATTTCATCTCATCTTAAATGTACCTTATTTATTTACTTGTAACCTGATGTTTTTAAAGTAGGTTTGGTAGTAGGCATGCGTTATTTTAATTGATGATCTGAAACTAACTCGAATGATTCAGCGCCCTCCATCCACTGCCGTTTCTCTTTGGAGTAATCGGAATAAAACAACTGGATTATTCGGGTTAATCCAAACCACGTTGGTTACATATCTGGGCATGTGCACAAATAGGAAATTTAATTGTGCATCCGAACGTTTCAAAATAATTTAATGATAAACAGACTTTTCATTAATTCATACAATGCATCTTATGTTAATTTCAAGTATCTAAGCGGAGAGTACAACTTCAACTCAATGATGCTTGACAAAAATACATGAATTTAGTTGCTCCGTCTGTGTTCGGATCTTAAACGCAATCAAGTCATATTCCGGTTTTAGAAAACATGCGTTTTTTAAAACGAAATTAGAATATTTTAGTATGTTATTGCAATAATAAAGAGTCAAGCGCACATGTAAATCTGCTGGTGCTTTACACTTCAAACGATGAACCGTCAGTTGACAGAAATATCAATGTACGAACTAATGTCACTATGTCAGTTGACATTAATGTCAGAATCCATATCGAAAGTACATAGTTTTCATGTCAGTCATTGTCGGAATGTCCCCAATGATTACCTTTATTGCCTTATGTTCCAAGGTTTTAAGTGATAAAAAACGGGATTTAACAAATAAATAGTCCAGCTTTTTACCGTTATTCGTCATGAAGGTACCGTTATTACAACCCTAGTAAAACGTTGCTGTCAATGGTATTATTGTTCACGAAACATTTCAGAAAATGACTGTTTGACGCCTGATGGAAAAGGGCATTCCTACCCTCGTACTTTTGTGTAAAATTTTTAGATGAAAAGCAAAATAGTGGTTTCTGATTTGGGTCAAGCACATACAGAAAATGAACGGGTTTGAATTGTTAACAAGTGCTCAAAACCCAATCACTGACCTGAGACAATTCTGCATTGGATATATTTAGCATTTTTCAATATATGTTTATAATGAAAAAAACAAGTAACTGGGAACAACTATAACAATTCATGATAAACTAATTGATGTTGGTGTTAAACCCTACTTTCAAGCACACTAGACTAAAATCATGGTGGCCAGTTATTTTATAGGAAGGAGTTCGGAATACCCAAAGTGAACTATCTACCTTTGACAGAAAAACTTTCAAGTGAAACCTAATCAATTACTGGTATATAAATTGCTCGTGTCAAGTTGACCATGCTGAGACGAATGTATGGAATTATAGAAAATTTAATTTGAATCAACAGTATTTGTAGATTTTTATGTTTAGTATAGTCTGTTTTGGTTGAGATATGAGTATTATTAAAGAATATTATTTTTGGAAGAAAAAAATACATCCAAAGCAATAATGGGACAGAGAAGGCTGGGTTGGTGTGGGCTGCTTTCATGGTAATTCAAGTTACCTTTTATGCATCTTCTTCCACCTCAGAGCTATATGCTCTTTGTTTATCAATATGAAATGTATAATATTTCATAAAGTTAGGGTTGGGAGACAGGAAACAAAATAGCATGCATGAATTGATTTCCTCAAAACTTTACATTATTGTTGGGATTGATCAAAGGAAGCTCCCTTCTGATTTTTTTTTTTTTTCTGGTTTGTTGTCCAAGAGTAACGACTTTCATGTCAGATTTAAGTAAATTTTTACATGCTGTACCAATACTTGAGGTTGCTTGTATTGAATTACTGGAAGCTTTACAGAATTGTTGGAACACACGGTTTGATTTAAAAGAAAATCTGATATGTCATTCCAGAGTTGTGGGACTTTGATCGTCAGATAAATAAAAGGCATTTTTTTCTCGCCTACGACAAAAGTCATAGAAAGGAAGACATAGGGATTGCTTTTCTGGTGACGGCGTCAACAATTGTTAAGTTTTCTGCTTAAGTTAGTTTGATAGGAACTACTTGTGATAGATCTTTGATATTTGATAGAAAGTTGGACTACTATCAGTACATATCAGTTTGACAACTATTTTGAGGCCCTGCCCCTTAGGTCATGGTCCAGTGACTTTGAATTAATTAGCAATTTTAAATGTTCATTTTTCTGCTTAAGTTAGTTTGATAGGATCTACTTATGATAAATCAATGATATTTTGTACAAAGTCACATTATTATCCGTACATATCAGTTTGACCACTATTTGGGGCAATATGCGCAATTGTTTCTCCATAGGCCGTAATGGTAGCGTTTTCTACTGTAGCTCAGTCCATATCGTAAACTTGGATATGTATGATGGCTCGTTTCGAAGCTGAGACATTTTCACATATGTGGTTAAAATTTCGGGGTACGAAGTGTGATTCATATTTCCGTAAATTAGCATACCCCGAAAATCCTTTCGTGATGCGACTCTTCATGGTAAAAAATCCCTTTTTTCACACAATAATTTCTTTGAAAATTTAATACTTTGAATACATTTAATAACTCCATAGTTTTTACACATTTATTCTATGGTCCTCTACTTTCCAGATCAACACAAATGGTTAAGCTCAGTCCCTTGTTAAAAATTGAAACATGTCCAATATCACTACACAGAGATTTTTTGTTTACACACAACTTTTGTGTTCCTCAATTGGAGGCGCATTAGGGATATTGACCCATTTGGAGGCCCTGTCCCCTAGGTCATGGTCCAGTGACTTTGAATTAATTAGCAATTTTCAATTAAGTATTGTGCTTTAGTCAGTTTGATAAGAACTACTTGTGATAGATCAATGATATTTGGATCAAGTTGCATTACTATCAGTACATATCAGTTTGACGACTATTTTTAGGCCCTAACCCATAGGACATGGTCCAGTGACATTGAATTTATAAGCAATTTTTAATGAGGACGATATTTTCTACAAAGTTACATTACAGTCTGTACATCTCAGTTTGTCTACCATTTTCAGGCCCTGCCCACTATATCATGGTCCAGTGACTTTGAATTAATAAACAATGTTGCTGTCCATCAGATTGTCTTTTTCTGAATTTTATGCAAAAAGGTGAGACATATCTCTGTGTCAACATTTTATTTTACACTAGCTCTAGTATGCTTGGATCAAATTGCTACAAACTCAATTGGTGAATGTAGACTCACTTTTGATTTTGAAAGTTTTCCGGTTTGTCATTCCATAGTCATGTGATAATTGTGGGACTTTTACAATTTTATTTGACACAATATTTGTATGTGTATAGGTATGTTCATACATGTTTTTTTACTGCAACATTTTATTTGCTTCTAAATATCCTATTTTATTTTTGCACAGTTTCAATGTGCTCATTAATGGCTATCCTGCCCTTTTGGTGCAACTGCTTATTATAGTTTGTTCTTATGATGTGCTGTTACACCACTGTCCCAAGTTAGTGGAGAGTTGGATGCCCCAAACCTGTTTAACCTGCCACGTTCTGTATGTTCCTGTCTTGAGTCAGGAGCCTGTAATCAGTGGTTGTCGTTTGTTGCTGTGTATTATATTTGTTAATTTATTGTTGTTGTACACATATCCATTAGTTTTCTCATTTGAATTGTTTGTCATTTCTGGGTCTTTTATAGCTTCCTATGCTGTATGGGTTTTGCTCATTGTTGAAGGCTGTACAGTGCCTTATAATTGCTAACTTCTAAGTCATTTGGTTTCTGGTGGTGAGTTATCTCATTGCCAAATCATACCACACCTTATTTTTTTTTTGATCAGGATCTGGTAGTGAAAAGAACACATGTATTAGTTACTGGATAGCAAATGTTTTTATTGCTGTGATATTTCTTTTATTCCACTGTTTTAATAGTGATTTAATTTGGGCTACTTTTTTCTCTAGATTAATTTTCAACATTTTTGGTAAATCACTCAATATTAAATTCTATTTCTTATAAAAAGAGTTTTTCATACAACATAGAGTTCATTCTGCACACAAAGTATCTTTGCAGTAATTTTTGCTTACTATCCATACTATGGAGTTTTCAGACTTAAGATTTCTGTATATCTGTTAGTTCTATCATTGTTTCTTTCAATGGACCTTGCTTTCTGTCTATTGACATAACAGTGTCATCTTCAAATTTGGAAACCTTATTTTCAGGTTTGATATGTTAAGTCCTTAAATCATTATATGATTTCTATGTTTTATTGCTAGAATTTCAGCACATAACATAAATAAATAAGGTGAAAACAGATCAACTTGTCAACATCCACATCTAATATGGCTAAATTAGCACAAAGGGGTGATGAGGTTTGTGCTTTATATTTTATTCATTGTGTTTCAATTGAAGATTTTGCAAAATTATAATTTCTATAAAAAAAAATTATTCTATTTGCAGATGGTAGATGTAAAAAGAGTGTGGACAGTACATGAAGCTTTAAGTCAGGTCGATTTGACCAATGAAAGCAGTAAAAGTTTGAAAAACCTGCTAAAACAATGTACATACAATATAGCATACCTAAGATGCTCAGAGGTGAGTGGTTATGAAAATTGCATGTAGGATTTACCTGTTGTTTAACGGAAAATATTTTTTATTTTTATTTGTTTGATACAAATAACTTCATGAAAATTGGACATCATAATTAAATTTGAGTTCCCTTCCTTATTTGAATCAAAACTTATATCAATGAAATGTTTAGAAAAGGGTCAACAAAATAAAAATAGATTTAAAAAAAAATGTTTTTTATATGAAATCTCGATTTTCATTGCTTGTTTACAAATGAAACTTACATAGACAGAAGATATAAAGAGGTGGAAGAACCCTAACAATGATTGTCAAAGATCAAGATCACAGTTGATGAAAATAAGACTGAAAATATAAAAGTATGAGAAGCAAACCGTTGTTTCAGGTAGCAATTTCTATGGGAAAACTATGTTCTTCAACATAGTTTGAAAGAGGGTGCCTCAGTGATGATAGTATTCTCATTAAGGGTACTATTTGCACCTGGCTGGATTGAGCAACAACCATGTTCAAGTTTTTTAAAATTTGAAAAATCTGTTAGAAATGAGGCAGAAGATACCTAGAGTTAAAGAGAACCAGACATCATGACAAAAAAGAAAAACATTGAAAAGACAAACAGCAATTTGCAAAACACTTCATAGAAAATTAGACTGAACAGTACAAACTTTACCAAAACAAGGGGTTTGGCACCCGTCATATTGCTCATCATAAGTACAAATAGGTGATTAATCAGGCCAACATTAAAAATATCTTTGTTTCCCCTTCCCGACTGAGGTTTTCAGGGTATTGGTAGGTAGGTAGGCAAATTATTTTATTTTATTCCTTGATATGGTTTTCTATATTGAATTTGTACAAATTTCAACAGGTTGGACTCAAGTCAGGAAAGGTGGGGTATGCCCTGTATTCAGGGTACACCCCGTTTTCTGTTGTTAAAAAAACCCAGTATACAGGGACTTCTTTTTAGCTCACCTGGCCCGAAGGGCCAAGTGAGCTTTTCTCATCACTTGGCGTCCGTCGTCGTTAGCTTTTACAAAAATCTTCTCCTCTGAAACCACTGGGCCAAATTTAACCAAACTTGGCCATAATCATCATTAGGGTATCTTGTTTAAAAAATATGTCTGATGACCCCGCCAACCAACCAAGATGGCTGTCATGGCTAAAAATAGAACATGGGGGTAAAATGTAGATTTTGGCTTATATCTCTGAAACCAAAGCATTTAGAGTAAATCTGATATAGTGTAAAAATGATTATCAGGTCAAAATCTATCTACTATGAAATTTTCAGACAATAATATTTGATATATTATAATCTGACAACCCTTTGTTGGGTTTCTGCCCCTGAATTGGTAATTTTAAGGAAATTTTGCAGTTTTTGGTTATTATCTTGAATATTATTATAGATAGAGATAAACTGTAAACAGCAATAATGTTCAGCAAAGTAAGATCTACAAATAAGTCGTCATGACCAAAATTGTCAGTCAACCCCTTTAGGAGTTATTGCCCTTTATAGTAAATTTTTAACAATTTTTCGTAAATTTTTGTAATCATTTACAAAAATCTTCTTCTCTGAAACTACTGAGACAAATTTAACCATACTTGGCCATAATCATTATTAGGGTATCTTGTTTTAAAAATTTGTCCGATGACCCCGCCTTTCAACCATTATGGCCGACATGGTTAAAAATAGAACATAGGGGTAAAATGCAGTTTTTGGTTTATATCTCTGAAACTCAAGCATTTAGAGCAAATCTGACAGGTGGCAAAAATGTTCATTAGATTTATATTTATCTGCCCTGAAATTTTCAGACAAATCTGACAACCTGTTGTTGGGTTGCTGCCCCTGAGTTAGTAATTTTACAGAAATTTTGCAGTTTTTTTGTTATTATCTTAGATATCATTATAATATCTAATATCTAATACTATTAATTATGATTTTAACCTTATTTTACATGATTTCCAAAGCATCAGTAAATACAGGTGAGCTACACCGGCTCTTGAGAGCCTCTAGTTTCCTATTCAAATTATATTGTATGAAATCTACAAAAGTGCACCTTCTACAGGTGTTAACAATGTTTTATGATAGCAAGTGTTTTATTAATAAAGTTAAAAATCAAGCTAATTTCAAGACTAATTTGATGCGTAACTCACAACAACACAATTCCCTTGTTCACCAATTCATACCTTGATCATTCATTATGAGATGACAAAAAGATAAGTTAATCACTTAGGCATTTGAATTCAATGAATAGAAAGCAATAGAAGTAACCATGATTCAGTTATGGTCAGTTACACCTGGAGCATGCAGCTTGGTCAACTGATTCCTAAACAAAAGATTTGTGAGTTCTAGAAAAAAACAAGGCTTCACTTTAATATTCATGTTTTGTTGTTCCTGAAATACTTTAGTATTTACAAATTCTACTGATGCAGTAAAAAAGTGCCCTTTTGTAAATTTCATGCCATAAATTGAAATAGAAAAAGGAAGTCCTTGTAAATTGGGTTTTTTTAACACCAGAAAATTGGGGTGTTCCCTGATTCAGATTCAGACCATTTTTACTCAAAGTTTTATCTTTTATACAGGAACAGAGATTAGAGAACAAGCAAATCAATATGCACTCAGGGGGTTGAAAGATGCTTCAGTTTTTTTTTTTTATTAAAGATCACCCTTGCAGACACACAAATAGTGTGACCAGCCATTTTGTTTGTTTTTCTTGATTCCGAATCATTTAGACGCTTTTATGCAAAAATGCCTTGAATTAAAACGCTCTTTGACTACAGCATCAAAAAGGTATCACCAAAAAACAAAATTGAAAAAAAAATAATATTGGACACAAACGGCCAATAAAATTTTTCTGGTCGTGGTGATTTTACCGGGTCGGTTGTGGGAGGGGAAACAAACAATATTTTATTTTTTGCCTCATTGAAAAGAATTTAGTTAAGGTTTTAACCCACTGTCATCAACTCACATTTATCCTCTGAAAACTGCTAATCTGTTTTTAAAGAACTGCAGTAAATGCAATTGTCTGCAATAGTGCTATATCTAGAGGATTTGGGATATAAGGTTTTTTGTCTCGCCTTGACAGAGTCAAAAAGTGAGGCATAGGTATGCTGTTTCCGGCGTCGGTGGAGGCGTCAACAATGTATTAGGTGTAATACCACCATTGATTTTCCCCTATTAGTCTTTGCTAAATTTGCACTTTTCAAAAAATTGTGCAGAATTTATCTTTGTTTCAAATAAAGAAATACTTGGCATGAGTAAAGTTTTATCCTGTCCAGTACTATAGAAAAATTTCACATAACATTTCATTGCATATAAGAAAATAACCATCACTGGAAGTTAACCAATCAAATTTTCCCCCTTTATTAACCTGTGTACAAGCTTTAGTAACCATGTAACCTCAAGTTTCCAAAATATTCTATAGAAACCCCAAATAAAAAAATAATGGTGCTTTGAAATACCCAAGATATATGTTTATGACCCAGAAATGTTTTACTGCAATGAAATGTAGGATCAATTACCTACAACTGTCAAATGCAAGGGAATATTTTTTTCCGACCTATTTTCGTATGCAACTGGATGTGACGTACTATGATTTGGTGGTATTACACCTATTAGTTTGTGATTAGGTCAGTTTTGTGGGTAACCACTAGTGGTAGGTCAATGAGATTTGGTATGCAGTTGTAATAGCATTGGCATATCTCATTACCATGGAGATTATTTGGCCCTGCCCCCTCAGTCATGGTCTATTGACTTTAAAACTTTTGCATAGTTTACATGTATTAGTTTGTGATTAGGTCAGTTTTGTGGGGAACCACTAGTGGTAGGTCAATGAGATTTGGTATGCAGTTGTATTAGCATTGGCACATCTTATATTTCCATAGAGATTGTTTGGTCCTGTACCTTAAGTCATGGTTCATTGATTTTAAATATTTGCATAACTTTCATGTTAACGTATTACTATTTTAATTTCAACATTTGCATTTTACTATCAAAATAACCAAAAGGGAAGACATATCTCTGTGCGAACAGTTTATGTTTAAGTCATATTGTTTTGAAATGATAACTTTTGTTTTTTATTTAATTCTTTTGTTTATTGATTTTTGATGTAAATTCAGGTCTTTTGGTCGAAAAAAAAAATAAATAAAAATTTTTTTAAAAGACATAAGTGTATATAGAATTACTGTGTTCTGCTTTATTACAAAATTTGTGCTCTACTATTATGTCATCTGATATTTTATTTCCAAACATGTTTTCTTGGCAGTTGGTACAGAAAAATTGGTACCTTTAATGTTATTAAAACATGCAATGCATGTCATTGTCTTATAAAATCGTAAAAAGGGGCATATTTGCAATTACAAATGGGACATAAATGGTCATTTTATGATGACATTTTTTTTTTAAATAGCTATACTTTTCTTTCTATCTATTAGATTTTGAATTTTTTTAACACAACAAGACAATGGGTCCGAGTACACAGTTATTTCGTAGTGCATTTCTTTTAGACAATAAATGAAAATTAAAAAAATCCCACCTGCGCTTTCTCAATAATATTTTTACAGTGTGTTGTACTACTTTTGGGACAAATTATATCAAAATTATAGAAAACTTCATCGGCTCTAACTCAAAATATGGACAATTTCATGCTAAGGGGGTCTTCAAATCTTTTGACAGCTTCCAAAGTGCTAATTTTTAACATTTTTCAGCTGGACCAAATCACTACTTTACTTTAAAATTCATGACCCAAATTTTTTTAGTGTCATTTCACCCCCCTACTTACTATTTGAGTCATAAAACATGGAGAAATAAATTCGGAAGGGGTATAAAAAAAATCGACAAGTAACACACTGTCCACACTAGGGACTATATTCGTGGACAACGAAAATCAAAGGACGATAACTGTGTACCCGGACCAATGTGTTATCATTTCTGTTTAAATATGATACAAATAAGCACATGATATTGAAAGTTTTGTGAAAATAACAGTTATACCAACCAGTGTTCTCCCCAGAAATTTTTTAAGGTGCAAAATTTCAAGGGTGCGTAACTATATTTTAGAGTGAACTATTGTGACCTGAAGCAATCGGTCATAAATCATTACATGCAATAATGCACAGTATTAATATACAGTTAAAGAATAAGAATATATATGAAATAAATTCATTTTCAAACACAAAAAGCATTTATATCACAGTCAATTAAATAAGTCAAAATGTATATATAGTTCAAGAAAAATCCTCATGGTCTTCTGGGCCTTCCAATGCTGAACAGCTTCAGAAATATTTATTTCTGTACTCCCTGTTCCTTCTAGAGATATAGTGACAAGACAGTTTGTAATTTTGTTGGACAGCCTGTTCCTCAGTCTTTATCCTCTTTAGGGTTGAAAACATCATCTGCCTTTCGCTTAACCCATTTCTTCTTTGCAAAGAACATGTTGATTCAGCATTGAAATTGATTATGTTTAAGATGTTTGGTATACAACTTTTTAAAACAAAAAAAATTGTAATGAACCAGCTGACCAGTGTCTGTAGTATGACATTACGCTTCCGTGTGTATAATTGTCAAAACGTTTCTTTGGCAGGTAGATATACACGAAACTTGACAAATTCGTCAAAGTTAAGACCAGTGAAATTCTTTACTGGTGACATTATACAAATGCTGCAACGATTCTGTACATACATTTCCCGATTATCGAATTAACGATCGATGTTAAAAATTATTTTATTTCTAAAATGTGACAGTTGACAGACGATTTTACTTGAAAGCAACAATTTTTCACCTTCTAATAAAATAAATCACTCTTCGTTATCTTTAATAAAAGTTTATTTTAGTTTTTTGACGTACAAATACTTTCATTCATAAATTTCATTGTGAATTTCTTTAGTAATGTTTATTCAAATTTATCACGTGTATTCATCATGTTCATTGGTCGTGTTTAAATAGATTCTTCTTCTCGACCAATGAAAAAATTTGTTACTTAAATGGCTAAGTGATTGCACACAGACGATGCGTAAATACAATCTATTTCTTTAATTTGTGCACTGAAGTATTTAAAAACTTTATTTTCTACTAAAAATATATATCTTCTTGATGATCATTTACGCTATAACCTGATTACATGGTCTGATAAGGCTGGAATAGGTAAATCAGAGACTTTTGCTAGTTCATCAGTTATTGCGCAACATTGACCGACCTCTCAGCGGTGATCAGCAACTTGACAATTTTAACCAACATTTATAATTAAAATGTGAAAATTAACATGCTGCAGGATCAAGGGACAGCTGCCAATTAAGGCGCTGCGGAACCGCAGCGTCATATCAGCCTGGGGAGAACACTGCCAACTTTTTTTCTAAACACCTTCACATATTGAACTGATTTTTAGTATGTGAGTCTACTATGATGAGTTAAAGATTGAGTTTACGTCTGGTTCTGCTCAACTGAGTTATGCAAAATTAAGGGCTTTGGAATTTGAATATTTGTGAAAATAACAGTTATACAGACTTTCATTTTCAAATTTCCACTCCTAAAAATGGTGTCAAGCTTTTTTGCGAGAAGGGCCATTTGTGTCGTTCCGACACATTTAGTTTAATTTCATAATTCAAGCGTCACTGATGAGTCTTTTGTATATGAAACACATGTCTGGCGTACAAAATTATAAGCTTGGAATATTTGATGATTTTTTTTGTATAATATACTATGAAAAAAAACCTGCCAGGATTACAGGATCAATTGATTCTTTTCTCAGTCAGTAATAATTCAGTCGTTGAAGTTTATGCATACATGTACCTATATACATGCTGTTACTCAAATACATTGTATACTGGATCTTTTGTTTTATTGTCTCACCTTGACAGGGTCAAAAAGCGAGACATAGGTATTCTGTTTTCAGTGGGCGGCAACAATGTATTAGTTTGTGATTAGGTCTAGTTCATGGGGAACCACTAGTGGTAGGTCAATGATATTTTGTATGCAGTTGTATTAGCATTGGCACATCTCATTTCCATGGAGATTATTTGGCCCTGTCCCCTCAGTCATGATCTAATGACTTTGAAACATTTGCTTAGTTCACATGTATTTGTTTGTGATTAGGTAAGTTTATGGGGAACCACTAGTGGTAGGTCAATGATATTTGGTATGCAGTTGTATAAGCATAGGCATATCTCATTTCCATGGAGATTATTTGGCCCTGCCCCCTCAGTCATGGTCTATTGACTGAAAATTTTGCTTAGTTAACATATATTAGTTTGTGATTAGGTCAGTTTAAGGGGAACCATTAGTGGTAGGTCAATGATAATTGGTATGCAGTTGTATAAGTATCAGCACATCTCATTTCAATGAAGAATATTGGGTCCTTACCCCTCAGTCATAGTCTATTGACGTTGAAACTTTTGCTTAGTTTACAAGTATTAGATTGTTATTAGATCAGTTAAAGATGAACCACTAATGTTAAGTAAATGATATTTGGTATGTGAATGTATTTGCAGTTGCAATTCTCATTTCCAGGGAGATTATATAGCCCCACCCCCTCATCATGGTTCATTGACTGAAACTTTTGCATAGTTTACAAGTTAATGTTTGTGTTAAGGTTTGTTTAAAGGGAACGACTTCTGATAAATGGTATTTGATATGCAGTTGTATTAGCATTGGCACATCTCATTTCCATGGAGATTGTTTAGCCATGCACTTTTTTGCATATTTGCATGAATATTTGCATAACTTGCATGTTAAAGTATTGCTATTTAAATTTCAACATTTGCATTATCAGAATAATAAAAAGACGAGACATATCTCTGTGTTAACAGTTTATATTGACATATATATATATATATATATATATATACATGTTTTTCAGGGATGCAGGTTTCTGGCTTATATTTTAAGCCAAGAAGTAGAGCTTACAAAGATTCTGCACAATACAATAAAAAATCATTTATCTACTACAGCCAGGTATTTATATTCACTTAAGTATTTCTTATATTAGGTCTTTTCTTGCATTCAACTTTGAGTGCAAGGGTTAATTCCTATCCCTATCCAATATTCCTTCATTTTCAAGTTGCATATTAGATTACTTGTTAATTTGTTCTTTTCAAGAACATGCATGATTGAAATATTGCCCACTGGACTTTTAAGATTACTGTCATTTAATCATGCATTCAAATGCTGTACCACAACAATTTTAGAAGCAATGGAGATTCTTCAAATTAATGTTATATCAAGCAAGAAAATGAATGTTAAGTTTAATTTTAAATATCTATCACTTTCTTATTTTCTCAAAATACTCTTGCTTAGGTGTATCCCTTTTTTTAGCTCACTTGGCCCATAGTAAGCTTTTCTCATCACTTCTATCGTCTGTCGTCGTTTACTTTTATAAAAAATCTTCTGTAAAACTACAGTTCTTAATTTAACCAAACTTGGCCACAATCATCAGTATGGTATCTAGTTTAAAAAATTTGTAAGGGTTCCGCAGAACCCAGTGTCTCGCCTACTTTTTCTGTTAATCGCAGGCTCAACAAAAATGAGGAAGTAAATCAATAAAAATATTCCTCTTGATACTATCTTTTGATTGAAAGAAGCTTCTGTCCAAGTTTGGTAAAAATCCAGGATAGTTTATGAATCTAATAAATGTTTAAAAACTTTAACTGCAGACTAAATGTAATGTTAACTGGAAGAAAACAAAATTTCCTTCTAGATACTAGCATTTGATCATAAACAAGCTTCTGTCCAAGTTTGGTACAAATCCAAAATAGTATAAGAAAGTTATTAAAATTTTCAAAACTTTAACCACAGAGTGAATATGTTGTTTCCTGGCAGAAAATCTAAGTCCATTTAAAAGTAAAATACGGAAAAAATGGATTTATTTTTTTACCAAATTTCCTTCTAGATACTAGCTTTTGATCATAAACAAGCTTCTGTCCATGTTTGGTACAAATCCAAAATAATATAAGAAAGTTATTAAAATTTTAAAAACTTTAACCACAGAGTGAATGTGTTGTTTCCTGGCAGAAAATCTAAGTCCATTTAAAAGTAAAATAAGGAAAAAATGGATTTATTTTTTTACAAAATTTACTTCTAGATTCTATCTTATGATCATAAACAAGCTTCTATCCAAGTTTGGTACAAACCCAGGATAGTTTAAGAAAGTTATTAAAATTTTAAAAACTTTAACCAGATTGAATGTAATATTTCCCGGCAGAAAAACTAAGTCCATTTATAAGTAAAATACGGAAAAAATGGAATTTTATTTATACAAAATTTACTTCTGGATACTATCTTATGATCATAAACAAGCTTCTGTCCAAGTTTGGTAGAAATCCAGGATAGTTTAAGAAAGTTATTAAAATTTCAAAAACTTTAACCACAGAGTGAATATTTGTGGACGACGCCGACGGAATGTAGGATCGCCATGTCTCGCTTTTTTGACTAAAGTCGAAGGCTTGACAAAAATGTGTCTGATGCACCTGCCTACCAACCAAGATGGCCGACATGGCTAAAAATAGAACTTAGGAGTAAAATGACAGTTTTGTCTATTATCTTGAAAACCACTATAAATAGAAAAAATCTGACAAGGGCATTAATGTTTGGAATGATGAGATCTACCTATTGCCCATTTACTTCCAAACTGTCAAACGACTTTCTATAGGAGTTATTGCCCTTAAATGACAAATTTAAAAACTTTTAAAATTTTTGCCTAATATCTTGGAAAATAATATTAGATAGATAGAAACTATATAACATGGTTGAAATCGTCTGATGACACCTAGTCCTTATTGGAGTAATTGCCCTTTAATGACCATTTTTACTAATTTTTTGTGTTTTTATGTCCCATTTATGGGCATTATGTTTTTCAGTCTGTGCGTCCGTTCGTTCGTTCGTCCGTCCCTCCATCCGTCTGTCCCACTTCATGTTAAAGTTTTTGGTCAAGGTAGTTTTTGATGAAGTTGAAGTCCAATCAACTTTCCCTATGATATGAGTTTTGACCCCAATTTCACGGTCCACTGAACATAGAAATTGATAGTGTGAGTGGGGCATCCGTGAACTATGGACACATTCTTGTTGCCTAATATCTGGAAAAGTAAAATAGATATATTGAAACTTAAATAGGCAAAAATGATCAGCAAGACAAGATCTACAAATAAGTCAAATAGTTGAAATCGTGTGATGTCCCCTTATTGGAGTTATTGCCCATTAACGATGGTTCTGACCAATTTTTGCGTTTTTGTCTTATATCTGAAAGACTATAAAAGAAAGGTATACACTTACATAGCAAAAACAATCAGCAAGACTAGATCAACAAAGAAGAGATTTTTGTCATGAATTTTATTCTAGTCCATAAAGATGGAGAGTATCCATTGTTGAAGATGCACATAGACCTAGGTGAGTGACACAGACTCTTTAGAGCCTCTAGTTTATCTCACCTTACCCAAAAGGCCATGTGAGCTATTGCCATCACTTTATCACTGTCGTAAACTTTCAAATATATCCTCCTCTGAAACTACTGGGCCAAACATTACCAAACTTAACTGTTCCTTAAGGAATCTAGATTAAAAATTTAATCTGAGGATTTGATCCATCAACAAACATTGCAGATGTTACTAGAAATAGAACATAGGTGGTACATTGCATTATTTGGCTTTTATCTCAAAAACTAAAGCATCTACCATGAGATTTTCAGTAAAATTGAACAAGGGAATTTAAAGTAATTTTCCCTGACATGTCCATTTTAGCTCACCTGGTTCAAAAGTCCAAGTCATCACATGGCCTTTGTTTGTAAGTCTGTTGTTGTCTGTTATCTTTTAAAATTATATTTTTCTTTCCAAACTACTTTGCAAATTTGAATCAAACTATGAACAATCATTATCGTGGTAATTGGCTTGTGTCTGTCTACATCTTTTCGTCTGTCTTAAATGAAATTGCTTTCATATTTTTAGCTCACCTGGCCGAAAAACAAGTGAGCTTTTCTCATCACTAATCGTCAGTCGTCGTCATCGCTAACTTTTACAAAAATCTTCTCCTCTGAAACCACTGGGCTAAATTTAACCAAACTTGACCACAATCATCTAGTATCTAGTTTAAAAGATGTGTCCCATGACCCTGCCCGCCAACCAAGATGGCCGACATGGCTAAAAATAGTTTTGTCTATTTTGAAAACTGTTATGAATAGAGAAATTCTGACAGGGCAAAAATGTACAGAATGTTGAGCTCCACCAATTGGTAGTTGACATCAAAACTGTCAGTTATTGCCCATAAATGACAAATTTTACCATTTGTTTTCATTTTTGCCTTATATATTGAAAACTATAAAAGATGGAGAGAAACTTGCAAAAAGGATCAGCAAGACAAGATCAACGCATAAGTATCCATGGTTGAAATCGTCAGTCGACTCTTTAATTACAAATATTGCCCTTTGATGAAAACTTTTACCGATTTTTTTCGCTTTTGCCTTATATCTTAAAAACTATAACAGATAGATAGAAACTTAAATAAGCAAAAATGATCATCAAGACAAGATCTACATTTAAGACCATATGGAGGAAATTTTTCAACAACCCCTTGTTTCCCTTTAATGAAGATTTTTACAATATTTTTGGCATTTTGCCTTAACTCTTTCAGCACTATGACCCGGTTTACCAGGAAATCAATTTTACTTCCGTAAACACTATAGCCCGCTATACCGGGCTGCACATGCTACTTTTTTTAATCCAAGATTTCCATTGGTCAGTCGTTAGGAAAACCCCTCTAAAGTAACATACTAGCGTCATATACATTCATTCGAGTTTCTCTGGCTTTTTCCGTACTTTTAACGGAAAATAAAGTAAATATTGGGCTATTATTAGCGATGGAAAATTTTTGGAAATTTTGTACACAAAATGGCGGATATGGATAGTGAAAATGAACTGTCAGGAGATGAAATTATTGATAAATGTCGGCCAATTTGACTTAATAAATGTTAATAAAGCTGACAGAAATGAATTAGAAAGGCAATGGAGAAATATAGTAGGGGACAGTGATGATGAATATGACTCACGAGGGGTTCGAAGCCGAAGACATGTTGACAAAAATTTTGACACATGGAGAAAGACCGAAACTCAAAGAAACATTCATGAATTTAGGGAACATGTGGGCCCAGTTTAAAATTTTGACACTTCAGCATCTGCCCTGAACTATTTTCAATGTTTTTATACTACAGAAGTCTTCACTTCTATCGTCAATTTAACTAATTTGAACGCAATCCGAAAATCGTACATGAAAGTTTACACATTTACCTGTGCAAACGAAGTACAAATACTTTGTCAATTGAGACAATATAACATTATTTTTTTTTTAATGATCATAAACTATTAAATCAATATAAATTCAAACAAAAATAAAAGTGATGTCATTGTTAAAACACCAGTTTATTAAAATTACCTGATTTACCTGTATTTTTACCTGTATGTCACCATAAGTCACAATCAGACAAACAGGTGCAGCAAGTACAAAGTATGCTGATTATTTTGATACCTCATATGACATGTATGATGGAATTGGACGACTGAGTACAAATATACATCAGTTTAAAAGTACCTACCCTAAATAAATGAAAATTCTCAAAGTTACTTAGTGTTGAAGGGTATAATACATTGAAAGTTAATGATGAAAATTATAATAGATAAATAGAAACTTTAAATAACAAAAATGATCAGCCAGGCAAGATCCACAAACAAGTCAAATTTTGCCGATATATTTAGTAGACTGTCACTCTTCATAGGAGTGATTGCCCTTAAATGAGAATTATTTTTACCCTCTTTTGTGTTTTGAGCAAAACTAAAGAAGATAGAGTGAAACTAAGCAGAAAAAAAAAAAAATGACCAGCGATACAAGATAATAAAAAAATGTTTTTTGTCATGAACTCTATTTTTGTCTACAATGTTAGAGAGAGTCCATTTTTGATTATGCACATAGACCTAGGTGAGCGACTCAGGCTCTTTAGAGCCTCTAGTTTTAAAGAATTAATAATCAGGGCCCTCTGCCATAAAATTTACTCAGTACTCGAAGTGCAAAACTTGTGCTCGAAACACCAAATGCAATAATTGTGCTCGAAAGTTATATGACCACATGGCCTGAGCTCTCTTAATTATAAATTCAAGCTTCATGAAAGCATGATATATCATGTGATGCATTTTCACATTCATCATTCAACAATTTCCTGTTAAACAAATAGTTTTATACTCGTAGACATTATGGTCTTGTATGAAATTTGTTGCCTCATTTTTCTCAGGAACTATAAATCAGAGCTTCCTAAAATTTGGTATCATGTCAGCATACATTTGCAGATCAATTGCTTATCAACTTCCTGTTAGCAAAATGTTATAACCAGAGCATCATTAGTGAACAGTGGGTCACAGCTTATCTTGTTTAATTCTGGCACTGAAGAAATGTTTATTTACTTTCAGATCATGGTTAGTGAAGTATGGAGAGATTTACTTTAGAGCATGGCAAAGAGCTACAGGACCAGTTTTAGAGGTAAAAGCATGATTGCATCACTTACAGTACTGTAAATTTAGAAATTATTGCGTGCATTTATTATTGCAATTTTAATTTAATTCTTTTTTTATTTCAAGAGGATTACGAACAGCCAGAGGCTATTGCGATTTTGTCATTTCAGACTAAAATGCCAATTTAATTTTTGCGATATTGAGAAAAATCCTGTTTAATTCATATAAAAAATTTCAAAATGCGAGTTTAAATTATGCGATTATAACCCTGTCACATTTTTCGCAATAATAAAAACATCGCAATAATTTCTGAATTTACAGTTACCTTAAAACTTGGATTTTTTTCATCTCAAGTTGGAAATGACAGTATTGTTTTATAACACAATGTTATGATACATAAAATACAGGTCAACCTCAATTTGAATTCAGGTTTTGGCATTCAGGTCTAATTACAGTTTAAGAGTATCTCAGATCGGGGATATCTGTCATATGATCATTAGATCTCCCAGTTCTTGTCTTGTCTGTGACAATACCCTACCAGCAGAGATCCCTTTGGGAAAATGCCTTGTGCCAATTTGGGGCAAAATTTAATGAAATGTCCCATTCTGATTTTCCAAAGGGGTCAAAATGGTGCAATAAATAATTGCTTGGCACATACTTATGTAACAATGAGCGCCTGGTCCCAACAAAACAAGCTATAGGACATTGTTGTCACATTTGAGGTAACTGTCACGTACTGAAGTGAAATGTGTCTACATTGGTCATTCCAGTTTATTTTGTCACTGGGAATATCACATGTTTTCCTTATGGATACAATGAAATACCAGTTCCCGAACATTTTTTCAACCAAATCAATTCTGCGTTTGATTTGAATACAATTGACCATCAATGTGTTAAAATCTCTTGCACTCCATTCATGCCACCTAAAAAAATTAAGAAAACTTATCGAAAGGACCAACAAACTCTGTCTTTTGAATCACCTGTATTTCTGAGGATACTGGTAACCAAATTTAATCTTGCTCAAGCACTCATTTAATTTTCCAATTATTTGGTCAAAGTTTTGACTAAGGAGATATATATATTAACTTGTAGGACTGTCTATGTATCCATGCATGTAGGCATAATATAGTTTAGCTTTTATTGCTGAGATTGGCCTTAGAAATTAGTCCAATGGTTACTCATAAAAGAGGATCAATAATAATTTTGAGGTTTAAGATCAAGGCAGATAAAAAATGTACATGTAGTACAAATTATGGATTTTGATATCAAGGTCAAAGTTCAGTGGTCAGAAATAAATAATTAAACATCTAAAATTATGTGGGATGAGGAGGGAATGTTCTGCTTTAGTGAGTGCTTGTTTTAATGTTCTTTTAAAAGTACATGTATATATATTTTAGTTAATCAATTATTGTTTTTCAATGCTGTTGAAATACTTATAGTTTTTCATTTTTTTTTTATTACCAATAATTGTATTAAATGATGTTAAAATATTTATACTTTTTCTTTTTTTTATTCCAGAAATTAGAAACTAGTTGTATTCAAGATCTAATGTATAATGCTGTACATACAAGAAAACCACTCTGCCAAAGTCTTCGAAGGGTAGGCATTATTGGTATACATTTGTAAGGACCAGGGTTTCTGCTGGTGGTGGCCATTTTCCCATTTTGAGAAAAAATCAAAATTGTGGCGATTAAAATTCATACTTGGCAAAAGAAATATAACAGTTCGACTTCTTTCATCTTTGTGATTTTTTCGGGTCTCTCAGACTTTTTCCCTGATTAGACAATACTGGGTTTCACCTTGAAATCATCACACCTTAGTGACGCATGGTTTTACGTCTCAACCTTTTCGGTTAACGATGGTCAGGAAAAGAAAACTGTTGTAATAAAGAAAAAATGTTCAGAAGTAAAAAAAAATATTGACTGTAGTCTTTATCCTTTAACTAGACGAGAAGTATCTGATAAACTTATTGAAGATGAATCCTGTGTTCCCAGAAGTCAAATATGAAGATTTAATGATATATATTGCAATTTTACAGTATCTTTAAAAAAGTATACATAAATTTATACTTATATTTTTTATTACAGATTCTGTGTTATATACATAATCAGAAGAAACAGAAAGGAGTAGAAGATATGTTACTGAAATTATATGACCCTATTTTGTGGAGGTCCCTTAAGGTACATCTAGAATTTTGTCTAATTAGTTTTATATACTGATTTGTATAGATTTTTTTTTGTATAGACATAACAACAAAAAAATGCTGGGTTTTGGCTTATACCTAAAATAAACTTTAGCAGTAAGCATAGTTAGAGCAAAAGTGAAAGGGCAAAATTTTCAAATTAATCAGACAATCATTTTGGAATTATTGCCCCAGAAATTTCTCAGTTTTTGGTTATTATCTTGAAAACTATTATATGAAAATAAGCATAAGTCTAGGACCGAATTGTTCAACTGATCCCTTATAGGAGTTTTGCCCTTGAAAGATTATTTTTATCAATTAATAAGTTTTTTTTTCAGAAACTATGATAGATAGACAGAAACTTTGATTGGCAAAACTGTTCAACATGACTGAAATTGTCATTTAAACCCTTATAGGAGTTATTGCCCTTGAAAAATGCTTTTTACCAAATTTTGTTTGTTTTTTGCAGAAACTATGATAGAGAGATATTTTTAATGCCATGTTTAAACAAACATTACATTACATAATTAACATTTAAAAACAGCAAAATAATCATTGTTTCAAGATTTCCACAAAAAAAATCCAGATTCTCTTCGGAGCCTCTTATTTTAAAATTTGATAGTTCAATCTTTAAAGTCTAGCACATAAGGCTTGAGAAATATTTAAGAAATGTTTAAATCAAATTTATACTTGAGAGATGATAAATTATTTTATCTAAGAAGTCAAATTGTAGAAAAAGTATAAAAAAAATTGGAATTGAACTTCAACATATTCCGTATTTATATGAATAAGTGCTGGAATAAAACCACTAAATCATAGCCCATTGCCCACTTTATAGGAGGTACTGCTTCAAATTACGACAGGAATATTGTGAGATGTATGGTAGAAGACCATCTAGCAAATAATGGAAATTGTGGTAAATCTGGAAATATCCACATGTTTCAACTTTTGTTTATCATATTATTCAAAAAGAGAGACAACAGATACCAAAGGGAAATTCAAACTCATAAGTCGAAAGTAAACTGACAATGCTTTGGCAAAAAAAGATTGAGACAAAAAGACAATCAACAGTACACAAAACACAACATAGAAAACTGAAGACTGAGCAACTCGAACCCCACCAAAAACACGGAGTGATCTAATTTGTCCAAAAGGGTAAGGCACCCGTCATGTTGTTCATGTAAGCACAAACCTGGTGATAATTCTAATTTGGTAGAAAAGAGGACAGGATTGTAGTTACAACAATTGGAACATATACATCGTCATATTCTACAATGGTCAACCAACTCGTGATGGTGTCTGTAAAATTTACAAATGGGATGACTTCAACTTCACCACTTCCGACTCTTGGTTTAATAGCTTACTTGTGAGCAGCAACCCTCTATCAAGAAAATCAAGATATATAGGAAATAGAAGCCCAAGAATATCGTTTCAACTTGGAGATATATACTCCATATGCAGGCGCTGCTGGAATGTTGCTACATAGAATTGGGAAGCTGAAATCATCTTTTTTGTCGTAAAGTTTTGTTTCCTACCGACACTTATTGTCAATTTCTAGATGTAAGTCAAGATATGAGGCAGACTTAACTGTATCTGTTGTATTCTTTATCTCAAATTCAATGGGATAGATCGGTTCAACATAGTCACTAAACTTTGAATTATTTAGTGACAGTACATCATCTATATAGCGGAAAGTGAAGTTAAAGGGTAATGCTAACTTCTTTTCTTTCTTCCTATAAAGCTCCTGTAAGAAGTCAGCCTCATATGAAAAAAGGAACAAGTGGGCAAGAAGAAGAGCACAGATAGTTTCCATGGGAATGCCAATTGTTTGTTGAAAAACACTTCCTCCAAAAGTAACAAATATGTTGTCAAGAAATCAAGCATCTTGATAATGTCAGTTTCAGAGAATTTTTTGCTTGAATCAGAGTGATTTTTTAGCTCACCTGGCCCAAAGGGAGTCTGTGGTCCGTCGTCGTCGTTAACTTTTTACATTTTGAACTTCTTCTAGAGAACCACTGAATGAAATGAAACCAAACATAGCATGAATGTTCCTTATGAGGTGTTGACCAAGTGTCATTACTTTGTAGCCGATCCATCATCCAAGATGGCCGCCAGCGGGGGACTTCATTTAACATAGAACCCTATGGGAAATACATACAAATGTCTTCTTTTAGAGAATGGAATGAAACCAAACATAGCATGAATGTTCCTTATGAGGTGCTGACCAAGTGTTGTTACTTTGAAACCGATCCATCATTCAAGATGGCCGCCAGCGGGGGACTTCGTTTAACATAGGACCCTATGGGAAATACATACAAATGTCTTCTTTTAGAGAACCAATGAATGGAATGAAATAAAACATGGCATGAATGTTCCTTATGAGGTGCTGACCAAGTGTTGTAACTTTGAAGGCGATCAATCATCCAAGATGGCCGCCAGTGGGGACTTAGTTTAACCTAGGACCCTATGGGAAATACATACAAATGTTTTCTTTAAAAGTACCACTGAATGGAATGAAACCAAACATGGCATGAATGTTCCTAATGAGGTGCTGACCAAGTGTTGTTACTTTGTAGCCAATCAATCATCCAAGATGGCTGCCAGCGGGGAACTTAGTTTAACAAAGGACCCTATGTGAAATACATACAAAAGTCTTCTTTTGAAGAACCACTGAATGGAATGAAACCAAAATGGTAGGAATGTTCCTTATGAGGTGCTGACCAAGTGTTGTTACTTTGTAGCAAATCCATCAACCAAGATGGCTGCCAATGGGGGACTTAGTTTAACAAATGACCCTATGGGAAATATACACAAATGTTTTCTTCTAGAAAACCACTTAATTGATTGAAACCTAACATTGTATGAATGTTTCTTTTGAGGTGCTGACCAAGTGTTGTTACTTTGTAGCTGATTTGTCATTGTCCTTATAAAGTCATTTTCTACAATTTCAATGAATTTATTGGTAATTTCTGTAAACTTTACAAAAGTCTTCTGCTTTTGATTAAATTACGGCCCCAATGTTAAACCAAATTTGGCCTCAATCATTATTAGGATATCTGTTATGATTTTAATCTATTTTTACAAGATTTCCAAAACCAAAGTAGAATCAGGTGAGCGACGCAGGCTCTTGAGCGCCTCTAGTTACAAAGTACAATTTATCCCTTCCTAAGACAAGATACTTTGTATGCAAAATTGGGGGAAAAACTGACCGACTGTTACCGCATTTTTATGTTTCAGTGGTGAGTCATAAGTTGCAAGATATTAGTTTGCCTTTTCCAGTAACAATTTGTTGAAGTAAATTAAGTTATGCAATTAGGTTAGTTTAAGGAAAATCACTGACACTTAAAATCATCAGTGATATTTCATATGCAATTGTATTAGCATTTGCTTATCTCATTTCCATAGAGATTATATGGTCCTGCCCCCTTAGTAATGGTGCAGTGACTTCAAACCTTTACAAGTTTCAGTTTGTCATTAGGTCATTTATCATTAAGGGTAATTACTAATGGTATAAGTAGATGATATTTGATATGCAGTTGTATTAGCATTGGCATATCTCATTCTACAGAGATTATCATTTATCATTTCAATACCCATGTGCTTAAGAAGTGTTTTGTTACAATTACAGGTAGCAAATCCTTTGGTGAGAGTCAATGCCACAGCAATTTTGATGGATGTTTTTCCATTACAAGATCCAGATTCTAAAATTGAAGAGACCAACAAACTGATGCAAAAACAATTTGATACTATAACGGTAAGAGTTTTTCCGTTTATATCTTATTTTGACATATGGTGGGTAGACCATATCAAAAATGAATCCTCATAAAAGTCATATTCCTTCTGTGATAATATTTTATCAGGCTGGTAGGCTTTAAAAATGAAGTGAGTATAGTTGGCCTTCCTGTGGGCTTGATATTTAAAGCAGAATTTGCAGTACCCACAGACATTGAATTGGAATAAAATGTTAGCAAAATAAATGATGGTATCATGGTATCTATTGTCAGTTTGTCCATTCTTCTGTCTCATGCACAAAACTAATAGAATGCAATGAGCAAATATCATGAAAACATAAAACTTGTATGAATGAGTAAAGTGGAAGAAAGCTCCCTTCACTCTTTGAAAAAAAATCAGTTTGTTATTCCATATTTGTGGGAATAAAGCCATCAAATTTTACTAAATTTTTCACAAATCACACATGAACTCGTGTACATAGCTGTCATTTGATTTGATAAATCAATGAAATTTATTGTGAAAGAATAAGTATCAATGATCTAGTATTGCAATCTGATTGTGAAAGACCTGATATTGGTCACTGAATTTGAATGCAATTAAATACAACTCAGTTTCAAGGTCTGTGAAAAAACTGTTGCTTTATTAAGCCTGCCATTTGGTTTTTCAAGGACAGTCAGTTGATCTAAGTTTGAATAAAAATACATAGAAGTAAAGTTTGTTGATCAATTTTTTTTATACTTTGGTATTTATATTGATTTTGCAAATAGTATTGAGTATCTAGAAAAATGATTCAGCCATACAATAAGATCAACAGTAAATTTGAGATTCAAATGTGTGTAATTTTGAGCTCTGAATAAAACTGAAAGGCACCAATATTATAAAACTCATGTTAAGAAAAAAGGAGCAAATAGTGAAATCCTAGCTTACCTATGTTTTAGGGAAAGGGTGTGGGTGGTCCAGCTGCATTTCTTGGATTTCACAAATGTCTTTTATAACATAATATTAACAAGAAGCAAGCATTTGGCAGCAACATAGAAATCACATATTCTAGTACAATTCCCCTACAAAAACATTTGTTTAGTTTTAAGAAATGTGAAAATAGATTTTGATAACTTGTTAATATATTAACTTCAGATCTTATTGGACGATCCTGTTCCTGTTGTGAGAAGTACTGCTGTGGCTGGTGTGTTTAAGATCATGTCAGTTTACTGGGAGATGATCCCTGCTGAAATAATTCAAAGTTTGATATCTAAAATTATCCTAGAACTGATATGGGATGCTTCCTCAGCTGATGTCAGGGAGAATGTCATCAAGGTATGCAATGTATTCATTCATCAACTAGTTACACAGTTAATTATGCACAACATTATTTGGTGAATATCGATATAGCATATTTTGACCAGGTGAATAATTCAGGCTCTAATAGGCCTCTGGTAATGAACTTTAAGTGTGAACAATATAATGGATAGAGATGCATGTAAACTATAAACAGAAAAATTTAAACAAATAAATTGAAATCAACAGATCACAATCTTTTGAAGATTAGGATAAGGATTGTATTGGAATCCTTTTAAATAATTTCAAATAATACCAAAAGGGGATAAACCAAGACAAAATATGAAAAACTGTCGACCTATAATTTTAAACACAATATATAAACTTGGGTCTAGCTGTATTGCAGAGCGATTGAAGTCTATCTTGTCACTTTTTATAAATAATGATCAAACAGGGTTTATTCCTGGAAGATATATTGGTGAAAATACTATATTGATTTATGATGTTTTGTTGTATACAGAAGAAAATGACATACCTGGTATTCTCCTCCTTTTTAATTTCGAAAAGGCGTTTGACTCAATTTCTTAAAGTTTTATTAAAAGCTTATTGGACTTTTTAAATTTTGGACCATCTATTAAACATTGGATCATTACTTTTTATACTAAAATTCAATCTGCAGTAACTCAAAATTGCCCTCTCTCAGAATTTTTTGAGATTTAAAGAGGCTGTAGACCAGGGGTCCCCTGTACCATGTATATTTTTACTGTGTGTAGAGGTACTTGGTATACTTATACGAAATAATGACCAAATTAAAGGAATCACTAGATAGTATCTCATTTCACAATATGCAGATGATACTTCTCTTATACTTGATGGATCACCAGAATCTTTGAATGCATCTCTCTGTACTCTTAGATAAATATGCAGATTTATCAGGTCTTAAAATAAATTTAGACAAGACCAAGGTTGTTTGGATTGGGAAGAAAAAGTTTAGCCAAGAAACTATGTGTGTAAAGTGGGGATTGGAGTGGGGTTCCAGGAGAGTTACACTTCTCTGTGGATATTAATGAAATTGAAAATTTCAACTATGATCCCAGGATGAAAGAAATCAAAAATACTATAAAAACTTGGACAAACCGAATACTCTCCCCAATTGGAAAAATAACAGTGATAAAAACACTTATAATATCAAAATTAAGCCATTTATTCCTATATATACCTAGTCCAAGTAATACAAAGCTTAAACATTTTACTGACAAAATATTTTCCTTTATCTGGGATAACAAATCAGATAAAGTTAAAAGAGACACTTTATCCAAACCACACAGTGCAGGAGGTCTAAAAATGATAAACATTGAAAATTACATAAAAGATTTAAAATTAACCTGAATAAGAAGAATTAATAGAAATAATTTTTTGGAAATGCAACATTTCTTGGGCCTTATAAAAGGCTGAAAAATCCATTTTGGAAAGAAGTATTTGATGCTTGGACTGATATTCAAAATATACAAGATAAATCTCAAATTAACACATGCAATATATGGAAGAATGATGAAATAAAGATTGGTAATCAATCAGGTTTATATAAAGATTGGACTAAAAAATTTGTTTGGCTGAATAATGACTTGTTAGATGAATGTGGAAATTTCATGACTTTTGATAACTTTAAAAATGTGTACAATATCAAGGCCTAATTTCTGCAATAAAATAGTATTTATAAGAATATAATATATGTCCCAATGATATAGTGAGAGAAAACGGTCCAGTTTTGCCCTCAGTTATAAAAATATTTTTTAAATCCCAGAGAGGTTCAAAAGATTTGTATAATATTTTAAATAGTAAAAAGTCAAACCTTAAACAGAAATGTGAACAAAAATGGTCCTTAATTCTCAATACAAACTACAATTGGAAAAATATCCATATATTGCCCTTTTATATTACCAAGAATTCAAAAATGCAGTGGTTTCAATACAGAATAATACATCGAATTTTAGGTACGAATGAACTTCTCTTTAAAATAAAAGTGAAAGATACAAATAAGTGTAGTTTTCAGTGTGGAGGGGTAGAAACAATAGAACATATATTCTGGACTTGTCTGTATATATCGAAATTATGGGAAGACCTTAACTCTGGAACATGGATATTTTAGAAGCTAGAAATAGAACTAACTTTAAATATAGATTTGGTTTTATTTGGTAAAAGAAAACTGATATAAATGACATAAGAAACTTAATAATTCTGTTAACAAAATTCTATATTTATAGAAGCAAATTATCATTGGAACAAACCAATATGACAGCGCTAAAAAAATATTTAAAAGAAAACTTATTAATAGAAAAATATATATTTTATAAAAATAAAAGACTCAGTAGGGCAGAGAACTGCTGGAACCCCTGGACTCCTTTATTGTCATAACAGCAAAGATAAACAACAGACACTGTGTGTTGTATAAATTAAAAATATGTATTCTCTATCCAAGCAGCCTTTGTCTTGCAATCATATTTTGCAATTTATCAAACTATTTTAGCTGTGTCTATTTTTATATGTTGTATACAATGTATCTTCAGCCTATATATTATATTATGCAGAAAATGTCTATAACTTACTATTATGTTCATGTGCAAATAAAAAGAAATTTAGATAATTTGTTTGTCTTGATTGTCTTAGTAAATATCATTATGTCATAGTAATGCCACATGAGTGATTCATACTCCTTGAAGCCTCTGTTTGTCTTTTTATGAACATTTCAAGTATGCCAATTTTAACAATAAAATATCAGTCAGTACTCATAATATTTAAAGGAACTTATGGTGAAGACATATTGCACATATATATATACCTGTCAGTTACTTTAACACAAAATTTATTTTGTATTACACTAATATTTAGGTCACATAATGTCAGTGGACCTCAATGGCACTCTGGATTCCACCACAAATAAAAACTGACTGCAAAGGTCTCTGAAAGTGGCATAAAATACTAACAAATAAACCAAATAGGTGAAATAGTGTCAGTTCCATTTTTCCTCCTTTTCTTTTAGTCTTGTACATTATTTTGCTTGAGGTTGCTAAAGACTGATATCTAGCAGGTAAAGACTTGTAAACAGGCTATAAATTGATTCACATGATTTATGTCTTGTTTTATTTTATTAGGGTCTAATAGTCCTCCTGGATAATCCTTTATGCCACTCGGTTTTGAAACCAATTCTTCCTGAGTTGAAGAACTTTGTCCATGATTCCTCAGAAAAGGTCAGGGTGGCCATGTTAGATATGTTGCTGAAAGTCAAAGGTCTTAGAGCAATCAGGGTAGGTATTAAACTCTGATTAATTTTTGTGTTTGCCTATTAAGAAATCTTTGAAACGATAGATTTTAGTTTAATTATAATTTGCAAAAATGTTTCTTGCTTATTCATAAGCAAAACTTATTGAGTGTGATATCTATAATTCAGGAATAAATCATTGTTTGTTATACTTTGACATTAGGTTTCCATAAGTGGATGTAGCATACTGTGGATTCATTTATTTTCGTGGGTACCAATTTTTGTGGATTAAGGAAAACTTATATGTTCGTGGCCATTTGATTTCATGGTTTTACGGAAATCTGCATACAAGCCCATAGAAAATTTGTTATTCATTGAACATTTAAATTCGTGGTTCACCTGTACCAATGAAATCCACGAAAATTGGAATCCAACGAATATTGAATCCACAGTATCAGTATTGTATTTACCCTCAAATCTCATCTGAACATATGAGAGATACATATTTTTTTATAATGTCATTTTATTTATAAATTGATTTGTCAATTCATGTCACATGTTTTTATTATATAAACAGTCATTGACTGGGTCTTACTAAAATAGATATTTATTGAACATTTCAACTACACTTCAATAACAATGAACAAAAATGAATGCATTTAGCTGTGCAGACTAACTGAGCTGGCATTTGATATATATTTTATATATCAATACATGTATGCTGTAAATATACATTTCAAAATGTGAGCATACTAGTATATATGGGCAATAATTTGGTATTCGGCCTTTGGTTTCTTTTTGTATCTTCTTTTTTAAGTTCTAAAACTTTAACTTTTATTCTGTGGGTTGTGTTGGTGTGAGAATAGTATTAATGGAACATGTGGGTTTTTCGAGAAAAAATTAATCCATTTTGATTCACCGTTTTTGTGACAGGAAACCAAACAGGAAACAAAACTTTATTTTCTTTATTTTGCACAATTTATTTCAAAAGACATAAATGAACACCATTACTAGTGTCACTTGCTTCATGTTAATATTTAAAATCTATTTTCAATGTTAAGTTAAGGTTTTTTTTTAAATGCGACAGGAAACCATAAGAAACCGAAAGCATTTTTTTAGTTTTATTTTATGGGAAAATCAGCTTAAAATAATCTGAACAGTAAACTTTTTCTTGATAATGTTACTTATAACTTTGGTTTTTATATGCCCGTCAATTTTTGACGGGACGTATTATGATATACAAATGTCCGGTGTCCGGCGTAAACATGTCGCACCGTAACTTGAGAATGACTTATCCAAATTTCATGAAACTTAACATAGTTGTTTCTTATGATGGTCAAACGATCTGTATACTTTTTGGTGAAAAAAAGATTAAAACTTTTTGAGTTACGGGACTTAGTAACTAAAACAGGTGTGTGTTTTTTTTCACATGTCGCGCCGTATCTCACAAACAGTTTATGATTATTGCTTAAAACTTTACACACTTCTTAGTTATATTAACCTTAAGATCTGTATACTTTTTGGTGATGATTCAAAATTTTATTTTTGAGTTATTGAGTATTTTGTTAAAAAAGGGGGAGGGTTTTTTCACATGTCGCGCCGTATCTCAAAAACGATTTATGATTTTTGCTTAAAATTTTACACACTTCTTAGTTATATTAATCTAAAGATCTTTATTCTTTTTGGTTTTGATTCAAAAAATTTTTTTTTGAGATATTGATTTTTTTTTTTTTAAAAGGGGGGTTTTCACATGTCGCGCCGTATCTCAAAAACGATTTATGATTATTGCTTAAAATTTTACACACTTCTTAGTTATATTAAATTAAAGATCTGTATACTTTTTGGTATTGATTCAAAATTTTATTTTAGAGATATTGAGTTTTTTGTAAAAAAAAAAGGGGGGGGTTTTCGCATGTCACGCCGTATGTCAGAAACTATTTATGCTTATTGCATAAAAATTCACACACAAGACGACGGGCGTATCATGCGCTCATGGCGCAGCTGTTTATTAAATTTAGGACTGTTTTTGATAATTTTTTCCCAAAAGACAATAAAAACTATGAGAATATAGAAACAAGGACAATTTATGATGTCATTATAATAAATTATTTTTGGGCACCGACTTGCATCTACTGATTTTGACTACCAATGTATTTTCTCATGCTTTTTGTTATAATTCTTATACACTTTTATATGTAGCACATGTGCCTACTAACCCTTAGTGCACCCAATGCAGTGTGCCAGCTAGCTCTGTAACACAACTGCATGGTTTACACTTTATGCTTATGCGTCAATTAGCACTGTAAAAACTGGGAGATCTAGCTAGTGCTTCTTATCTTATATAATGTACTTTTCTATAAAGGGCTGTTCCAGAAGTGAATGTATTGGGGTGTTAGGAGGCACTTTCTCAGCTCTCATTTGATTCAATTGGAAAGATGTAGGACATTTTAAATTTCTAAATTTTCATGATTTTATTGAACACAAAACAAAAAGCGTGATCCAACAAACATATTAATGTTTGGAACATCCAATATGTGAGTGATGTCCATTTTATCCACAGTATAAGTAGTATCTTGTAACGTCCACCCTGTCCCTTGCTTTTTGTAAAATTGAAACCACAGCCATGGATTTTTAACTTTTGTGACCTGCAATGAGAATTCAACAATAATGATAATGGCTGGTGGCATAGCTTATTATCTATGATATACAACAAAAACTGAACTATGATCTGAAGATGAAACAAAATTCAAAGATACAAATAATAACACTTGAATAGTTATTGACTACAAAACTTGATTATAAACATCAACCATCTAATAAATTTGCATGTGTTATCATGGTTATGCGTATGTACAAGGTACATGTATCATAGATGACAAAAGTAGAAAACAACAAATAATTAGAAATGAAAACTTTGATATAACTATTTTTTCACATCTTAAAAGGACTGTAGTATTAAGGTGGTGTGCACTCTACAGCTTGATAGATGTAGGTTCAAATCTTAGTATGGACAAGAGAGAAAAACTTTAAATACCTTATTACAACAGTTTGTGTATAAATCATATGCTAGATACAATAAATTTCAAATGAGGTAGAAGATATGTGTTAAAAGCATAGCCCCACCTAATTATATAACAGAAAGTGACCCAACTGCAACAACCAAACATGCTGTAGCTGCATACCAAATTGCAAATCATATAGGTGGTCATAAAAAGAAAATCAATGAAAAAAAAATTAAAGAGACATACATAATTTAGAATTGTTGTAACCTTTATCTCTGTTTGAGTTGTCGAAAATAGTGTACTTAAACATTGTATCATAGATCAAATTTATTTGTTCAGTGTATGTTCACTGGTGTTAATATGTCTTTTGATTGAGTTAAGCCATTTCAATAGATATTTTATAGTGCGTCTTTCTATGTTATGATTTTACACTATTGTTTCAAATAAGGGTGAAGGTTTGGTACCATTAAAACCTTTAAACCAGCTGCAATTGTTTGCACCTGTCCTAAGTCAGGAATCTGATGTTCAGTAGTTGTCGTTTGTTGATGTGGTTCATAAGTGTTTCTAGTTTTTTATATAGATTAGACCGTTGGTTTTCCCGTTTGAATGGTTTTACACTAGTAACTTTTGGGAGCCTTTATAGCTTGCTGTTCGGTGTGAGCCAAGGCTCCGTGTTGAAGACCGTACTTTGACCTATATTGGTTTACTTTTATAAATTTTGACTGGGATGGAGAGTTGTCTCATTGGCACTCATACCACATCTTCTTATATTCAATGAAAGTTTGAATTGTTTTACATTTGTGATTTCGGGGCCTTTTATAGCTGACTATGTGGAATGGGTTTTGCTCATTGTTGAAGGCCGTACGGTGACTGATAGCTCAGCTGTAAATTTCTGTGTCATTTGGTCTCTTGTGGAGAGTTGTCTAATTGGCAATCATACCACATCTTCTTTTTTATATAGACAAGATTCCATATACAAAACATTATTTTGCTGGTGTATAGAAACTCAATGAAATCCTATAATTGTTTATACCCATTCATTACAACTGCTGGAAAATTACAAGTACCATGGATTACAGAAACATACCCAAAAACCTCATGTACCAAAAAGAATAGCCTGGTTTATTTCACAAAATTTCTTTCCAAAATTTGTGACCACAAATATATAAATCTGATTTTAAAAATAATTCTGGTAAGTTGTTATTAGGCTCGTTTCTCTAAAGGTCCCATGTTTGATCGTAACTTCTTATCATTCAATACAAATTATGACCGATCTTCAAAGTCACAAGTCCTTAGATTAAACAGAACCCTAGTTCCTTTCAGCAAGGGCAACAGTAAAAAGCTTATTTTACATGTCAACATTAAAGTGACATGTTATTTCATGCAATGTTTTATGGCAAATTTGATATAGGTGAACATATTTTCAAAGCAAATTTTACTTTTAAGTTGAAAAGAAAAGTGTGTTGATATATTGGCCATGCGAGCAGTGAACCTGCACTACTTATCTGAAGGGAAATAACACTTTTGAAAAGCTATGAAATTGTGACGCATACAACTGAACTGGATACAACATTGGCGGTTTCCGTGTATTGATTTACTTCTGGCATACTTATGCATTTAGATTTGCATCTCTGGTTAAAATCTGTCTTAAATGTAATAGTATTACTATAAAACTCCTATATATGTGTTTGTTTTGAAAAAAAATTAGTGCAATTTATTCAGAAATTTCCACGTTCTCTTTATTGATACAGGATACCATAATCGTTGTATCTTGATGTTTTAGCCAAAAAAATGTATTTATTGGTTTTGAAATTCAAGTTTTATACAATTAATTCCAATGTCAAATTCCTATTAATCCAGTAGAGTAAAAATCATTTAACTTGGAATTAAAATCTTATAATAGGCATTATGTGATATTTGTGACCTGTACACCATCTACATGGTTTCCACATGTTAACCTTCTTTAGTGGGCTAAAAGTACTTCCTTTCAAGTCATGCATGGTAAAAGTTTACTTCTCCTTTGACACTATTATTGCATTTTTGAAAAGTGTTTGGAGAATATGATTAAAATAAAAAAAAAAAAAAATGTAACAAAGATACCAACTCTGTACATTCCAAGTGTAACGGTATATCAACATGTATTTTTTTAAAATTATCTTTATTTACCTAAAATATCAAGTACAATTGACCGCTGAAGCAAAATCAATTCAACGAGAATCGTCAAAATGATAAGAGACGTAATGTTGAATGAATTTTCCAAGGACCCTTTTCATCGTTATCCGGAAACAAAGTGTGTTGTAACACCCCGCGAATAAGAAATCGATTTTGTCAAGTCATTGGGCATTTATTTTCACTCAAGATCGTATGTAACATGCACGTAGGAAAAATAATAGACCCCCAGCACGATCTCTTTGAAAATTGTATTTTTCCTTTTTTATACAATATGAAAACAGTCTACAGAATATGCTTGCTACTATCCCGTTGGAAACAAAAACAATGTTTAGACCTAATATTTCATATACCCCGCCGTAAGCGCTTAATCACATGTTAGCCACATGTTTCACGTATGACCGGAAATGATTTGGACTGAACGACAAAAACAATTTTAATAAAAAAAAGTAAATAACGACTTCTGTTTCGTGTGAAATGTAACGCATAACGATAACGTCATTTTCTAACTTAGTTATTTCGAAGAACAAAACTAGAATGTAAATAATCACTGATTTACCTGTTTGAACATCTCGCGAGATTTGCATATCATTATGAAAAATTCAATCACAATAAAGCAGACTACACCATCTAAAATTTGCGTTACGAAATCGGAAACCAAAGTAACGCTAAATTCCTTACACCTGCTACAAAAATACTTACAGTTCTTGGCAATTTCTTCTGACTATAATTTTTGATCGATGTTCTTTATTATTTGAAAGCAAAAATTACGATTTTGCAGGCGACGATTATCTTTAAATCGGGCAGCGTTACGCACTTCGGAAGCGAAAATAACGATAAGAAACGACATACAAAAGTGGTCGAAGAATCTTAAACATTTGTTTATTTCAAATTCTCTCTAGGGGAGATTAGAAAGCACCTATATTTTAATAGAAATAATAGCATTTGATGGTGGAGCAACAACATTCTCTCAACAAAATACAATATTTTATCACTTTTCTATTGTTAACGGAAACAGTCCCAATACCAAATTATTGCCCATATACAGAATAAATAAACATATGAATGCCCAGGAAAAACCACAAAAACTTTATAAAAGAAAATCGATATGGAAACCTGTGTTGTATAAAGATATTATTATTTAAATCAAATGGACTGAAGTTTTAGCAATGGTTACTGAGTGGAGAATGTTCCCTGGGACAAATTCCACCAGCAGTGGTAAGGACACTAAGTGTTAATCATAAATATGAAAATTAGCAATTGAACATAGTTATATAGTTTTTGTCCCACACACGACACATTGCAGGGGACATAGACATACTGGACATCCATCTGTCAGTCTGTTCCTGTGTCTGACTGTCCAGTCTTGTAAGCACTCTCATGTGTACAATTCTTTCCAGATTTTATTGAAATTTATATCAAAAGTTGATATTGGCAATTTTTTAGGACAATTTTTGAAATAAGAGCATATTAAGTATATAGAAAATTGTATTGCATGTCCTCTCAAGCCTACATTTCTTGACAGATTGTTATAAAATTTATTTCTAAGGTTGAGTCCCAAAATCAGCGCGCTAATCAATTAATTTTGATACGCCCTTTGAAGACGAGACGTATAATGGTATACTAATGTTTGTCTGTTCATGTGTCGGTCAACACTTCATCAGATAACTCAAATTTGCTTTAACCAATTTTTATATTACTTTTAAATTACAACATTAGAATTGATGGTGGAATGCTCCCTTTTATTTTGTTTTGGTTTGGATTTGTCATTCCAGAGTTACGGAACTTTGACCCTTAGAATTAAGGCTATTTTTCACAAATCGAGCACTAACTCCAGTATTCCTGAATTGTTTTCCTCCAAACTTTACATTATCGTTGGAATTGATTCCTGTTTGTTATTCCAGAGCTACAGAAACTTAACTGTTACATTTAAGACAATTTTTCCACAAATCACGCACTATTCCTGGATAGATTTCCCCCAAACTTTACTTTATTGTGGGGATTGATGAAAGGAAGCTTCGTTTTGATTTTTTGAATTTTTGGGTTTGTTGCTCCAGAGAGATGGGACTTTAATTGTCAGATCTGATTTTTCACATATTGTACTATAATTTTTTTGGCTTTGATTTGATAAAGTGGAAACTTTACGCTGTGCCAACTGTTCTACAGGAGATATTCTCTTAGGAAATAGAAATAAATCGAAAGTAATAATATTAATGATCTCATGCCTTCACTTCTTGTAAGATATATACCCTGATTTGAATTGTTGAAAAAAAAAGGAAAAACAAATGTTTTGCCCTTGAACAAATAAAATATGTGCAACACAGGGGACATTTGAACGCTGCTCTTTTATTTTTGTACCAGTAACATTATTTTCTTTAAAATTAATGATAGATAAAATTCTCACAATGCCTTGTTTTGTTTTTCAGTTTTGGAGCATTGTCCCTGTTGAGCATCTTCTAGCCAGACTAGAGATAGACACACCCCCTATTGCTAGGCGTATTATGAAGTTGATCTTTTCTAGTTTTATGCCAGCAGATAAACCTGCTGATGTGCAGATAGGTAGATGTGTGACCCTAATACAAACCAACATTGGGGCAGCCAGACAGTTTTATAACAAAGCACATAACCATATGAGTATACAGGATACAGGTATATGATTTATTACTGGTTATTAGGTGGCCATTGGCAATATTATATTTATATTCAAGACTCAATGATTCAACCAATCACATTGAGAACACATGTAAAAGAAGCCCAACTGTAATCAAATTTAGTTCTTTTGAAGTGGTTTACTAAAACTTAAAAAAATTATATGAATGAGAAATATGTTTGGACCATTTTAAGCCCAAATTTACTTATGCCTTAATGTGCATTACAGTTTTAGGGTCAATGTGACACATAGAATACTTAATACAGATTTTCAGAAAAATAAAGTGCTTCTTGAATTGATTTTATGATTTCAGGGCCTTCCATAGCTTGCAATGTGGTATAGGTTTTGGTCATTGTTGAGGGATGTATGGTGACCTATAGTTGCTAACTTCTTCGTCATTTGGTCTCTGGTGGAGAGATATCTCTCTGGCAATCATTCCACATATTCTTATTTTAATATGAATAAAAAAGGTTTTTATTTTTTTCCCCCAGAAAAATCCAGAGAAGAAATCCAGTTATTAGAATGGCATATGAAAATCAACAAATTAAAAAAAACCTCTCCTTATATTGTTTAATAACTGCAAGAGATATACTTTATTATAGGTGTAATACAGCTAAATTTAAGATTTTATGATTTGCCTACAATTAGAAAGAGCATGTTCAGGCTGCCATGTATTCTATTTTAACAAAAGTATAATTCTGTTTTTTTTTACAGTAAATTACATCACACTGTTGTGTAGATGTATACTACAATGTATGAAGGCAGAAGCAATAAAGAACAGATTAAATGACAGTGCTACTGGTGATGGTGACAAATATGGTAGAGATCAAGATGACACTCAGGTTTGTTACATGACTTTTATAGGCATACTGTATCAATGTCTTTTTTATGGTCCTTTCTTTAATCTGCCAAACACCTATAGTAATCAGCTTGTCTATGCATTGGTCCACCATATATCATCTGTTACAAATTGTTTATGCTCTTTCAACTACACTCTTTTGAGTTGGGTAAAGAAACTTGACAAGATTATTCTCCACTACTAAAAGGTGTGTATGATACAAATACTGTAAGAAAACAGTACTGTGAAAGTAATTTTTTTTTAAAAGTCCAGCTTAGTTACCCCTGTGCATGGCAAGGGTCAGAAAATGGTCATATTTGCCAGACATGACTGTTTTTGAAAGACCAATGACTGAAATGGTATTTGGGATTTAGGTCAAGAAAGATAAATTGTACAGAAATCATTTTGGTTATATCATTGAGATCTTGATTTTTAATCACAATTTTGCACTAATTTTTGTTGGCATTGCTTTTTCAATAATAAAACTGCTACTAGGTATTGTATGGTAATGAAAAGGGCCTTCCAAGTTACTGTTTAAATCTTTAAGGAGATATTGGCTAATGATCACTAATCAGTTTTAAGCAGTAGGTCAACTATAATTGGTATATGGAATTATTGTAATTTTACCAGAATTGTAAAGTATACATGTTTGTATTTTAGTGTTCATCTGACCTTAACCTCATTTTCATTACTAATTAATAATGTTAGGATTAAGTGAAACATATATCTTAAAAACTTCCAACACGCAATTATGATTAGTTAAGGATGAGTTGAGAAAGTTAACCTGAAATGATGATTTTTGACCAATTTTGTGTTTTTACTAAGTATATTGAAAACCATAAAAGATAGACTGAAAATTTCAAAGTGCAAATGATCAGCAACACATGATCTATAAATAACTCAATAACTCCTTTAAGGAGGTGACTGAAATGTTTGCCTTTCAGACTTTATCTGTAGATCTTTTCTTACAGAATAGTTTTGCTGTTTACAATTTCTTTCTGTCTGCTATAGTATTTCCCAAATATGCAAAAAAAATGGATAATTTTTTTTATTAATTTGCAATTACTTCTTAAAGGAGATGACTGACTGCAACATTTTGGTTTTCACTCTTGATGCTTTTGTATTTTTTAGCAAAGAAGAAGAGAGAAATTGTAAATAGTAATATATGAGCTACAAATAATTTCACTAATTCAGAAATTGTCAGTCAACTACCTTTAGGAGTTATTGCCCTTGTTGAAGGCAAATGTCTACCCATTTTGTGTTTATTATGGAAACTCAGTGTTCCCGCCTGCCCTAAATAGAAGGGCGGCCCGCCCTTGGTGCCCTTACCCCCGCCCTCCAAAGTAAAAGAATGCACCCCTCTGCCTTTTCAAAAAAATAAAATTTCCAAATTTCATGCCTACCGGCATTTCCGGTAAAATTGTTACCTGATTGTGTAACACTAATTAACTGACAATGGGATTAAGTTAAATACCTAGTGCTTTGGCAGTTTTATCACCTTTGTTAATGATTGTTTACTGCTAATTAGTGGATTTAAGATAATTGAACAAATACTAGATATTTAATACAGAATGAAATGTCCACATGTTATCCATTTGTAATGTTTATGTACAGCATGTACACCTGAAAAAATTTATTTCAGTAGGCATAACATAAAAAATAAAATCTTAAACAATTTTAAAGGCATACATAGTTTTGACTTAATTGGTAAAGAAATTTTTGTTTCATAACCATGAGTATGAAATTTAAAGAGGAATCAAAGAAATTTGTACTTGGTACATAACAAGATTCACTTCCTGTTTTTAATACTTCTTGTATTTTATAATCCTCCTGACATAGGAGCACTCAACAAATTTATTTTTAACAATGATGGAGAAAAAAGTAACTGTTTATACCTTCTGCAATATATTGTTGCATCAATATAAAATATGATCATCTCCTGTCTCACCTGTTATATTTATAAAACTTCTTACTGAGGAGCACTTTGGTGTGCACTTAAAAATACTTTTTTGTAACAATTCAAATGATAATAAATAACTCTCAATAAGATATATACTATATGTTTGAACAAGTAATTTAAATGTAGATAATTTAATTACATTCAACATTCAATTTTGCATGTATAACTCCATCTTTCAAAACTACTTGTTTATTTTGGTATAAGTTATAAAACATTGAAATTTCTGATGATTATTTTCCATACCAAATGTACAAGTTTGTTTAGATTAACATCAAAATGATATGCTTTGCTTCATGGTATGATAATTTGATGAAAACAAATTCTTACTGGAACCAACATCAAGAACACATTAATTTCTGAATATGGTTTAAATACAACTAATGTTCTCCAGTTGAGCCTAGCAATATTCAAGGTAATTTATACACTGTCCAACATTGCCCTTAAAATCTGGGTTATAATGCTAAAGTGCCCTTTCAGACAACAAGCACCCTTCTGCCCTGAGATTCAAGCTGGAACACTGAAACTATTGTAGATAGGGAAACTGTAAATAGTAAAAAATGATCAACAAGATCTTCAGACATGTCAAACAACTGGACATGGCTGAAATTGTGTGTAGACTCCTTGTAGGAGCTTTTGCCTTTAAAAAACAATTTATACCGATGTTTATGAGTCATTACCCATTTTTTCACTTTTGGCTATTATCTTGAATATTTAGATAGAGATGTCATGTATGTGAAATACATAGAACATTGTCTTTAAATTCCTTAAAGTTCCAGTTGAGTGATTCAAGCTCATCAGAGCCTCTTGTTATGGAAATTCTTGTCCTTGGAATATAACCACACATAAAAATGACCTGATTGACGCTTTTCACAAGTACAAGTAAAAATTTGACATATAGCTGTTTTTCTAATCCTTATATTCTAGAATTGAAATCATACACAACAGCATCAGTAAAGATATTTTCATTATTGTATTTGATTCAGATACTACTTTTGCGTATAACATGTAACAAGTTAACAGTATGTTTCAGATTGATGTTTCAGAGGATGAACTTTCTGTACACAACATCAAACTTATGACCAGGATTCTTGAAGCTATAGTTTTGTTGTGGAACTCTGTTTCTGTGGAGTTAGACAAGGTAAGTATGAAACACTAAATTTCAAGATTTTGCTGCCAAATTTTGAAAATCACATGTCGAAAAGGCCATCAGTTGGCTTTGTGCTTTGGTACTCTGTTCAATGTATGGTTAAGGTCCTGTTAGCATTTGCAAATGATTTAAAAGGAATGTTAATGTAAAAATTGCACTCTAAGAATTGTATACCTGGATCTCCATTTCATTTTTTGCATGGACAATCTATTCAAATTTTAAAGTAAATTTGGATTTTATTAGATAAATACTTACCATCATAAATTCTGAGTGTAACCCCAATTGTGTCATAGGTCAGATGGAAAATCCCGACTAAAAATAAACGTATTCTCACTGGTCCGGACATATACCCCTGTTTGCCCATATTCTCCCATTCAATTTCCTCAAGACAGAAACGTAGGGAAAGGGGATGAAGGGGAGGTGGGTGGGACCTATAATTTATGATGGTAAGTATTTATCTAATAAAATCCAAATTTACTTTAAAATTTGAATATTTTATAGCTATAAATACGTTACCATCATAAATTCTGAGTAACAGAATCTAACGTAAAGCTGAATCCCCTGTAACAGAAGAAACAGGAGGAAAGTTCAATCTTTGTGCTGAAACTATAGGTCCAAGAGAGTATAAACTCTCGGCAAAAGTAGCCATAGATTGGAGGTAATGAGATATAAAAGAGTTCTCATTTCTCCAGAAACCTGCAGACAGTACCTCTTCTAAAGATGCACTGTTAAACAGAGCCCAGGATGTAGAGATACCCCTAACATCATGAGCTTTAACATTAAAACTATTTAAAAGTTCTGACTTAGAAGAACCATAAGCTAAAGATATGCATTTGCATATCCAAGTAGAAATAGTTTTAACAGAAAGATCTGAGATTCCTTTTTTAATAGGAATAAAGAGTCTTGAGTTAGAAACAGAACGTAAACTACTCGTTCTATCCAGATAAATAGAAAGGATTCTTACTGGACATAAAAGTACAGAAATAGAATCGCTAGGGAGTGCAGGAATCACGACTGATTCTGCACCCTTATCTGGAATCTGATTCTTTGCCAAAAAAGCAGGATCCGTTAAAAGAGTAACAGAAGATTTATCCCTGTTAAATCGAAGGCAAGCATCAGAAATAGAGAAGGCATGGATTTCACTCCTTCTCCGTCCAGAAGCCAAAGCTAAAAGAAAACAGCATTTATAGGAAAGAAACCTTAAATCTATTGTTTCTGCTGGTTCAAAAGGAGGAAGTTTTAAAAAGGATAAAACTAGTCCAAGGTCCCACTTAGGAACTAAAGTTTTTTGTCTTGGTCTTTCAAGACTAAAACTACGAACCAAAAGAGAAATATGCTCATTGTTTCCAAAATCTGGGCCACCAGAAATATGAATAGTTCTTGAAATAGCTGATCTATATCCCTTAATAGTAGAGGGACATAATCCTTTGGATTCAAAAAGAAAAACTAGAAAGTCTGCTAATTGTTGTACAGTGACTTGGAAAGGATCAATTTCCCGCTCACTACACCAATCTGAGAAGATTGACCATTTTGCATCATAGACAATGCTAGTGGAGTCTCTGACAGACTTTGTGAGATGCTTGGTTGCTCCTTCAGAAAAACCTCTCTTTCTGAGGCTAACCCTGAGAGAAGCCAGGCGTGTAGATGAAGTTTTTCTGGATTTTGATAAAGAACCTTGCCCTTGATTTGAGACAGAAGGTCTGGTCTCAGAGATAGAACTAGAGGACAAGCACATGATAGGCGCAGAAGGTCTGGAAACCAAGACTGTTTCGGCTATGCTGGAGCAATAACTATGATCTTGCAATTTTCCCCTGCTATTTCCTGAAGTACTGGGGAGAGAAACCTGAAAGGAGGGAAGGCGTACCCGAACATTCCTTTCCAAGATAGGCTCATTGCGTCTACCGCAAAAGATTTTGGATCTGGAACCGGAGACACAAATGTTAGAAGTTTGTGATTGAGACTGGTCGCAAACAGATCTATCTGAGGTGACCCCCAATGAAGAGTCACAGCTTTGAAAACTACTTGAAGTAGTTCCCACTCCGTGTTTACTGGAGCAAGGGATCTGGATAGAGTGTCGGCTAGAATATTGAGGTGCCCCGCAATATGTCTCACCACTAGATGAACCTGGAGTTGAAAACACAGAAGGAGAATGTCTCTGGCTATCTGATAAAGAGAAGGTGAATGAGTTCCTCCCTGATTCTTGAGATAAGGGCAGACTGGTTCTTTAGAGACATTTGGAAATGATTCAGTGCAAACAGAACTGCTTTCATTTCCAATACATTGATATGCTCTTCCAAAAGATCTGGATTCCAGACTCCCGAGATTGTAAGCCCCTCCAGATATGCTCCCCAACCGAGGGTGGAGGCATCTGTGAATAATGTTAGACTGGGAACTTGAGGGGACAGACATAGGCCCCTCATTACATTTTCCCGTACTAACCACCATTGAAGGTGTGGAAATAAAGGCTGAGTGATTGGAATCAATGCTTCCCATTCTTGTGAAGCTGGAATCCATAACTTGTGCAGATAAAACTGAAGCGGACGAATGTGAAGTCGTCCCAATGGAATTACATCTGCCAGTGAGTTCAATAGACCCAGAAGTTGCAAGAATTGACGTGCTGTGACTGATTGAACCGTCAGGAATAAATGTATTTTCTGACATAGTTTTGTAAATTTTTCCTCTGGTGGGAGGACTAGGCCTACACTGGTTAGGAAATGTTCTCCCAGGAAAACAAAGTCTTGAGAAGGAATTATCTCTGACTTTTTCCAAGAGATTAGGAAGCCTAGGGACAGAAAACAATTGATGACCAAATCTGTCTGAACCCTCAATTTGATTGGGCAAAATTCCTTGAGAAGGGAATCGTCCAGGTAGGAATGAATCTGAATAGACAGGGAATGTAGGTGAGCTATAGCTGCCTGCATGATTTTGGTAAAAGCCAAAGGGGCTGTAAACAGGCCAAAAGGGAGAGCCTTGAACTGGAAAACTTTGTTGTTCCAAACGAAGCGAAGGTATTTCCTGTAAGTATGGGAAATGGGAATGTGGAAATAAGCATCTGAAAGATCCAGAGAAGTAGTCCACATTCCTGGAAGGATTGAAGCCCTGATTGATCTGTTGGTTTCCATTTTGAAATGGGGAACAATAAGAAAGTTGTTCAGAATAGATAGGTCTATGACCGGCCTCATTCCTCCAGTCTTCTTTGGAACCAGAAAAAGACGGGAATAAAATCCCGGAGACAGAGTTAAGAGCGACACCTCCTCTATTGCAGATTTTTGTAACATTGTGTCCACTTCTACTGATAGAAGTTGATACTTGACTGGGTCTTGAGTATGAGACAAACTTATCGGAACTGCAGACAGAGGAGGTGGGTTCTTGAACTGAAGTGTTAATCCCCCTCGAATTATTGACAGCACATAACAGTCTGAGGTAATTTTCTTCCACTGATTTAGGAAAAAACTTAACCTCCCCCCTACTGGTATTGATTTTTGAGGAACTTGTTGTAAATTTTCCCCTGGGGAAGCTGTCAATAACGTACGAGGGGGCAAGAACCTAGGTACTAGACCCAGGTTTCTTGGGACCCTTAAAACCACCAGAAGGCTTACCTGAGTTTTTTCCGGAGTTATTGGGTTTGTTCTGCGGTTTGCCGTAGTTATTCTTCCTTTTCTTAGCAGAAGAAGGAGGACCACCTGAAGCAGAAGTACTAGTAGAACTAGATGTAGCATTAACCGACCTCTTGCCATTAGTAACTTGTACACTAACTTTGACTGGAGGAGGGTTTTTGCTGAGTTCCTCTTGAACCCGCTGTAAGGGTAAACCAAACATCTTGTCAGTAAGTGGAGATTTCAGTAAAGAATCTTTCAAAGGCTCAGCAACAGAAATGTTTTCAAGAAACTCTGCTCTTTTAGATAGGGTGCAATTAGCAATAGAACCCATTAAAAGCAACTGAGATGAACCTAGAGCTTTATCCAGTTGAAGTAAGAAGGATCGTACTTCTGCTGGAACAACCGAATCTTCGCTGTTAAGCAAATGTCCGGTTGCAGCTAGAAAATGTTCGGCTGTGCCAAGAACTTGAGAAGCACTACGAAGGAGATTCTCAGTCTTTGACCAAACAGGTTGAGTGAGACAAAGACCATCTACTGGCTTTTTTCCCAATAAGGATGACATAGATTTGTCACAACTGGGAACAAGTCTACCCAGTGAAGAATCAAAGATATCAAAATCCTTGTACTTAACCTGATCAGAAAAGGATGACATTCCAAATCCAGAGATATTGTTATTAGCAACCTTTTCACTAGCAGAATTAGCGATACCTTCATTAATAAATTGTAAAGCAAATGCCATATGGCCAGATTCAGGAAAAGAATTGTGAGAAGTCACAGTATCCTGAGAAATACCACAGGAAGCTTCAAAAGTTGAAGAAGGTTTTTTCGGCTTGGAAGGAGAGGCAAAAGGGATATGTGCTTCATCCCTCATCAAGGTATACACCTTATCCCTAAGATCCTTCAAGGATGGAGGATCCTCAGTCTCCTTGGTGGGAGGTTGTTGAGCTGACTTAGAAGAAGGCTCAGGGGCCGTCTTCGATACCTTGGGAGAAGAAGAACTTTCAACATCCTCATCAGTGAGGAAAGCCCTTTCATGACTCCCAGGGGAAACAGAAAGCTCGTCATCCTCCCTCTCATCACATTCTACAGACTTAGCTGGAGAAGGTTGATGAGAAGAAACTCTATTCTCCAGTAGAGACATACGACTGGATAGAGTACTAAATTCAGCCTTGAAAGACTCACCAAAGTCCAAAAGCAACTTCTGAAAACCATCCAAAGATGATGCATGATCAGAACCCTGAGTACCATGAGAAGAGCTAGAAGATTGAGCTCGAGAGTCAGGTACGGTGGTAGAAGGAGCTACTGCAGGAGTCAAAGATACTGCTACGGGTGGAGCAGGAGCTAAAGGTGGTGCAGTAGCTACCCCAGAAGGGGGACCATAGAAATTGTCCCTATAAGGCCAAAAACCAGGTTGGTTTGGCATAAACCCACCATAAGGGTAAGACTGTGGCCAAGGTGGCTGAGACCATGAGGGTAAAGGTTGTGTGCCCGAGTTGGGAAGCATATACCCACAATAGGATAATGGGGGTCTAGAACCTGGCAAGTTCAAGCCCATAGCTGTACCTGGGACAGAACTAATAGTACCCGATGAATTAACAGGCCTAGATAAAGTATGAGTCACCGAAGTTGACGTAGGTACCCCCCCAAAATGCATGGCGGAACCTTGTGAAAGGGTCGGATAGGTAGCATTACCAGACACCGTTGTCGAAACTCCGGTCATAGTACTGGTAGTTTGGGGGGGACTTAAAGGTAGTGACCCATCTAAGAGATAGTCCGAACCAGGAATATTTACATACGGACTATTCAAATTAAAGTCCATAATAAAATTTACTTTAGTCAAAAAAACACAAATAATTTGTTTAGAAATTCAAACTAAACAAGGGAATAAATTTCCAATAATATACACAATATGAAAAGCAATTAAGCTATTCAAAAACTTTACAAACAACTAAACACTTCTCTGTTGAATCTGTATATATTTGCACGTGTGACCGATGTCGCAGATGGAAATTGAATGGGAGAATATGGGCAAACAGGGGTATATGTCCGGACCAGTGAGAGTACGTTTATTTTTAGTCGGGATTTTCCATCTGACCTATGACGCAATTGGGGTTACACTCAGAATTTATGATGGTAACGTATTTAAAGCTATAAAATTGGTTAAGTTGTATGAAGAAGTCTATATTTAAGCAAACTAATTAAAATACATATCCTGTTTGGACAAAGAATCTACATTAATCAGATTGATAGCAGCTATAATCATCGAGGAATGATCCTTTGTCAGTTGATGTATCATATTTAATGATTGAGGCTTACACTAAAATTAAAAGAATTGGCCTGCATTATAAGGGCTGTTCCAGAAAATACTATGTCCCCCGCAGGGAAGGCAATTTTTTTTAATTTTATGTGGGTGGTTGTATTTGAAATACCAAAATGCAGAGGGAGTGTTGTTCTAATTTATTTTTATTTCTGTGGGTGGTGGGGGTTAAAAAAAAAGTGCTGTCCCGGGGGGGGGGGGGGGACAAAGTATTTTCTGGAACAGCCCTAAGCATGTTGACTTATTTAAGTATAACATTAGGGTCCAGTTCTAAGGAAATACAAATCATCTAGGAATATTTTTTTGTCTCTTGATGCATGGTCCTTCATAAAATTCTTCATTTCATTCTGTTCAAATATAACATGGCCCTCAAAGTTAATCTTTACGTCTGATTGGGGGATTTCGAGTTATCTTTTCGGAAATTATATTTGGAAATATTTTAAAACATTCAGAGATTGATGATTGGAAGACCTACCAAATTTTGTCATTTAATGTTGATTGGGTGGCAAACATGGTGGGGATTGGTGGCACATAATTCCTATAGAACTCCCATTGAAAATCACATTATCATAATTTTCTTTGGAATTTTTTGTCCAAATAGAACATAAATTTTTATTGATGCTACAAGACGAAATAGTTTGAAAGTTTAAGGGATTGATGATTGGAAGATCCTCTACAAAAAATCCTCATTCAACCTCAATGGGGGCAAAAATAAGGCAGAATTGTTGGTATGCTGTTCCAATTAAACCTTAATTAAGGTAAATCATATTTTTCATCGTCTTCTCTTAAACAAGATTGTCATTTTAACCAGCTTTGGCAGGAATGATATATACCTCATTTGGTTTTGAACCAATGACAAATATGGCACAAATGGCAATCTTTGATTCTAATTGGCCAATCAAAAAAAAAATCATCTTCTCAACCTGTTTGGCAAATGTTTTGAAACTTTATAGGATTGATTATTTGAATTAAGCATCCTCATTCATTGTTGAATTGGTGGTTTTTTGTAACTTTTGAAACCCTAAGGACATCAATTGTTCACAGTCTCAAAATTTTGGGTCAAGTGTTGCAGATTCCCAAAAACATTAAGAAGAAATAAGAAGATGTGGTATGAGTGCCAATGAGACAACTCTCTTGTCTTGGCTCACACTGAACAGGAAGGTCTATACTTAAAATTTGAAGTATACTGAATTATCATGATTATGAAATAATCCTGGGGGAAATATAAGCTTGTAGTTAAAGCCTCTGTGTAAACATACCTACATAAGCACTTAATCATGATTGATGGTTGCATCCAAAGCCAGTCTATAGAAACATTGCTGTGAATATAACAGTGTAAAAAGCAGACCCACAAAGTGATATAATCCCCCTCCTCAATTACCATCACTATTTTAAAAATTTCTTTTCTATAAACTTGATATTTGCAGTTTGAATGTTATTTTTTGGATCTGAATTAACGTCTATTTTTTTAACAAGTTTAAATGCCATGTTTCCAATGTATTTAAATGACTGCTTATGTGGTATTTTATTTTACAGACATGTAACAAAGAGATTTTACTTGGATTACAGAATAAGTTCATGGTTGCTTTACCAGAAATGTTTAAAGCTTTCAATGTAAGTAGTTATTATACACCACCATTGTAATTTAACCAAAGTTCATTATTTGTTCAATCAATGTAAATAATAAAAAAATCAAACTTTTGCATGGATGAGAACATGTGATGAGCTAACATATATATTAAATATAAGTAATAAGTCGAGAAAGGTTCTGATTTAAGATTTCCTTAGTTAAGTAAAGACAATTTTATGCGTAGGACTTGAGAATTTCACTTATCAATGGAAATTATTAGTAAAATCTAAGTTTAAGGAACACTTACAGCTCTTTTCATAATGCTAGCAAGGCAAAGGTTGGTTTGGCTTGCTTGCTTTGTTTGTATCAATGTTTGCTCAAGCATTGTAATTAAGATTGACATCTGAAAACAACATAAAAAGGAGCATTTAAACTTGTATACATTATATTTAAATTTGATTGGACATTATCAAATAATCAAATTTACCTTTACACAGATTTAACTCCTCCTACTTATATTGTTTGCAGATGTCAATCTTAATTACAATGCTTGAGCAAACATTGATACAAACAAAGCAAGCAAGCCAAACAAACCTTTGTCTTGCTAGCATTATGAAAAGAGCTGTAATATAAGATTTTTTATGCATACAGGCCCTGGATCCTACTAGAAATATAGTACAATCCAGAATCAACCTAGAAAAAATCTGGATATCCCTATATTAGAATTCTGATTTGCACTGGATTTTCATTAATTTTAAATCAGAATTCCAATTTCTACTCGTAGATATTGGAATTCCAATTTGTACTAGGAGGATTCTGGATCCTACTGAATTTCAACTTGTACTACAACATATGTACCAATTTCATAAGTCATAAAATGATACAAACCCAATAAAGCATGAAAAGTCACAAGATAATTTGAACAAAAGCTAACTATAAACCAGTAATTATATGCATGTTTCACCGATTTCTGGCTGAAATACCCTATTGGTGCAATTTGATGATGATAGTTATAGTGTTCTTTTATTTGTCTTTGTAAATTATAAACCTTTAATGTTGAGTCTAATTTTGGTAATATCCTTTTTGCGTGGCTCGGTACTTATACATCCCACCATTGTGTTATTGTGCTATGGTCATTTATATGTATTCTTGTCTTTCATTTTTGCTTATGTGCTTTGTCTATATGGCATTTTGTTATTCTTTGCTGACATATTTGTTTGTTTTTATAGTGATGAAGATTATAACACAATGTTGACTGCTGTACCCCTATTTTTGTACTCGTAGATATTTTTACCTATTATGTCTGTCTGTTTTGTTCACACATTGTTGTCAAGATAATTGTTTTTTTATGTGAGGTTTAGCTAGCTATAAAACCAAGTTTAATCCACCATTTTCTACACAAGGAAATGCCTGTACCAGTCAGGAATATGACAGTTGTTTTCCATTTGTTTGATGTGTTTGAGCTTTTGATTTTGCGATTTGATAAGGGACTCTCCGTTTTGAATTTTCTTTGGAGTTCAGTATTTTTGTTATTTTACTTTTGACACCAACATAGTTTTACTTAAAATAATTTCTGTAACATAACTAACAACAAATTTGACTAATTTTTATTGTAATGGGGATAATTTCTGAAATTTGAATTTCTCATGCTTTTCAGGTGGTTTTTGTGTTGCTCAGTCTTTAGTTTTCTATGTTGTGTTTTGTATACTATTGTTTGTCTTGATATCATTTTTCCTTTTTTGCCATGGCATTGTCAATATAAGGAGATGTGGTATGATTGCCAATGAGACAACTATCCACCAAAATTAGTCAGTTTGTTTTTGACTTATGAGTTTGAATATCACTTACATGTAAGTACTTTCTTTCGTCTCATTTCTACAGTAATAGAATCAAAACCACTAATTCATAGCCCCATTGATTTCTATGTTAAATTCTGCAATTTCAAGCATTCATATAGCTATTTTGCCTTAAGTTCAAATGAAGCGACAGGCTTTTTATGTCAAAACTATACCTTATCCTGACTTGTGTTGAAAAATTCAACTCACCTTTATGAATATGCAGCTTTGAGCATTCCTGATGAAGGTAAATCCAGAAAAGCGCTTCAAACTCAAGGAATTTATAAAGTTTTGTTTTCATTCTTTAATTGCATACAAGAGAGCACTGGTTCTTGGAAGTTTTGTAGTACAAAATCAGATACTTCTGATCAAAGCAACAGGGCAAATATGCCTTATTTTAATTCCTTATTTTATTATCCAAACGAAACTCAACAAAGGTTCCATAGTGATCCCAAGTCCTTAAGCTTTCATTTGATACCAAAATTACCCAAGTATTTTACTAACTGACAAAGTTTCAGCTAGGGATAGGAACATTTTTGTTTAATTATGTACTTAGTTTGTTTAAAGTATGTAGTAATTTATTGTATGCTCTTTCTGACCATGCTGGAATTAGTGGTTCTATGCCATAAAAGATGATTTTTATGGCCCCACAACAAAGTTGTTGGGCCATATATAGCATGTATAGTTTTACCCTTATCCGCCATTCCGTCATTCCGCAAAGAAAAGTTATACAGACTCTTCTTCTAAATGACTTCACATATTGAGCTGATGTTTAGTATGTGAGTCTACTATGATGAGTTATAGATCGAGTTTAAGTTTGGTTCCCATCCACTGATTTTTGCCGAAATTACTGGACTTTGAAAATTTCATGAAAATAGCAGTTATAAGGACTTTTTTCCTAAATGCCTTTACATCTTGAGCTGATTTTTAGTATGCGAGTCCACTATGATGAGTTACAGATCAAATTTACGTTTGGCTCCGCTATATTGATTTTTGCTGAAAATAATGGTTATACAGACTTTCATTTTCAAATTTCCACTCCTAAAAATGGCTTCAAGCTTGTGTGAGCGGGGCCATTCATGTCGTTCCAACACATCTAGTTGTTTACTAACTTTTGAGTTTTTGCCTATTATAATTTATTTCAATTTTTGACGAGTGAGGTCTTAGGAGCCTCTTGTTGGTAAATACTATATATAGAGAGAAACTGTAAACAGTTAAAATGATCAACTAATTAAGATTTATTAAAAAGTAGTATGACCAAAGTCGTCAGTTGGATCCTTTTAGAATTTATTGACAATTTGATATTATTGATATTGTCGCTTGCTTGTTCTACAGGAGTTTTTTTCCCTTATTCACAATTTTAACCCATGTTTTTTATGGTTTTTTATCGAGCCTGCGACAAAAGAAAGCTCGACATAGGGATAGTGATCCGGCAGCGGCGTTAGCTAACTTCTTAAAAGCTTTATATTTTAGAAGCTAGAAGACCTGGATGCTTCATACTTTGTATATAGATGCCTTATGTTACAAAGTTTCCGTCTGTCATATGTCCATTGTCCTTGACCTCATTTTCATGGTTCAGTGACTACTTGAAAAAAAAGTCAACATTTTTTGTAATGTTAATTTCTTTCTTGTTATGAGTAATAGGATAACTATATTTAGTATGTGCGTACCTTGCAAGGTCCTCATGCCCATCAGACAATTTTTATTTGACCTCGACCTCATTTCATGGATCAGTGAACAAGGTTAAGTTTTCGTGGTCAAGTCCATATATCAGATACTATATACAGCAGGTCTACTATATTTGGTATATGGAATGATTGTAAGGTGTACATGTCCAACTGGTAGGTGTCATCTGACCTTGACCTCATTTTCATGGTTCAGTGGTCAAAGTTAAGTTTTTGAGTTTTGGTCTGTTTTTCTAATACTATAGGCAATAGGTCAACTATATTTGGTGTATGGAAATATTTTATGATGTACATGTCAGTCTCGCAGGTTTTATTTGACCTTGATCTCATTTTCACGGTTCATTTCTCAGTGTTAAGTTTTTGTGTTTTGGTCTGTTTTTCTTCAACTATAAGCAATAGATCAACTATATTTGTTGTATGGAAGGATTGTAAGGTGTATATGTCTGTCTGGCAGGTATCATCTGACCTTGACCTCATTTTCATTGTTCATTGGTCAATGTTAAGTTTTCATGGTTAAGTTTGTTTCTTAAATACTATAAGCAATAGGTCAACTATATTTAATGCATACATTGATTGTAAGGTGTACATGTCTGTCTGGCATGGTTCATCTGACCTTGACCTCATTTTCATGGTTCATTGGTCAATGTTAAGTTTTCTTGGTTAAGACTGTTTTTAGAAACTATAAGCAATAGGTCAACTATGTTTGGTTTATTGAATGATTGTAAGGTGTACATGTATTTCTCATTTGGTTTATCTGACCTTGACCTCATTTTCTTGGATCATGTTAATTTTATGTGTTACTTGTAGTAAAGCTTTATATTTAGGACTATCAACATAAAATCAATGGTTCGTAAAGAAGGCGAGACATTTCAGTGTGTGCACTCTTGTGTTTCCATTTTTATGCCCCACCTACGATAGTAGAGGGGCATTTTGTTTTTCGGTCTGTGTGTCCGTTCGTTCGTTCGTTTGTCCGTCTGTCCCGCTTCAGGTTAAAGTTTTTGGTCAAGGAAGTTTTTGATGAAGTTGAAGTCCAATCAACTTGATACGTAGTAAACTATTCCCTATGATATGCTCTTTCCAATATTAATGCCAAATTAGAGTTTTGACCCCAATTTCACAGTCCACTGAACATAGAAAATGATAGTGTGAGTGGGGCATCTGTGTACTATGGACACATTCTTGTTGTCTATTATTTTATAATTTAATTTTGGATGTAACGCGTCTTCTGATTGGCTGAAGTTGTTTTGTTTATCAGCTCATAGACATAATTTTGTCATGTGACCGTGACGTCATGAACGTTTTTTCATGGTTTACTCCGGTTTAAAATGGTATTTAGAATTAAATTATAAGAAATGACTGTAATATTTTTTCTGTCTATTCAAAATAACATAAAAAATGTGGTGCACACTTTAAAATAACACGCTACACAGGTTATTCAGTGTGCACCACATTTTTGATGTTATTTCTTCATAGACTGAAAAAATATTACAGTCATTCCTTAAGAAAACTAAAAAAGAAAGACAAAAAATTTGTTTATCAAAAAAAAAATCATGGAAGATTTTAAACCACACAGTTTCATTTCAGCATAATATTTACTGCATTGTATCAGTTATATGGGAAAATGCCATGTGAGTTTATTAAATATATTGAAAAAATTGTAACAACTTTGTATCATGAATTGCATTTTTAAAGAATAAATATCTTTTAACATATCACCTCTGAACTTGATTGGTTTCAGAATAGTCTTTTTACATTTGAGATATTTGTTGTAAATTGTTCCAATAAACTTTTTATATTTTTAGGATTCACAGATATTGACATCGCTGATTATGATAGCGGGTAATCTGCCCTCTAAATCTGTACCTAGTGTCAGGTAACTATAGTCTTAAGTTATTGAAAGTTATCCTGGATATCAGCCATCTTTAGGGTTTTTCTAGGGAAGGTAACAGATGTTCAGAAGACACAGTATAAATCAGTGTAATGTATATCTTTTTGACTGTGGTTGAAGGAAGGCAACTAGCAATCGTTAAAAATATGAAAAAAAAAATAAAAAGCAAAGGCTGTGTAAAGAAGTGCGGCCAAATTTGCTGATTTGTTTTGGGATTACTTAGCCAGAGGGAGCTGCATTGGTAGTTTTTGAAAGCATTTTACTTGCACATGTTGCAAGTGCATATCTTAGTACCAACTAGTTTAAGATATATGTAGGTCTGCCTAAAAAATATTTGAGTCATATTTTACTGATAAATGGACTTGCTTTTTACAGGCAAGATAACACTTTTAGAACTGATATCAGCAATTGCAGATGAGGGACAGGGTTCTGAGAAACCCTTTGCACATTTTTATCATGAAGGAATTTCAGTTTGATAATTCATTTGTAAATCTTTTCATGTTCAAAATTATTTTTATCAATGCTTCAATGTCTTACATATTGCAAGTAAAGAGTAACTGCAACAATTTTGAAAATATACAGAAATCTTCTATTTATAGTCGAAGTTGCCTGTCAAAATTGAGGAAAATGGAAGAAAATAAAACTGAAGACTATGGGTGCTTTTTAGAGGTCATGTGTAACTGGGGGAAAATTGAAGATGTTTTTGAAATGGTGGATGAATGGATAAAAGCATCAATGCCTAAAGCAGTGAAGAACATTTTGGCATCTTATGCTACAGTAAAATATTTATTATTTGTAGTTTCCCAGTAGTTCAAATTTCAATAAACAGCTATTGCCATCATTAAGCATTCCCTCATCCTCAATTTTTGTATCCCTTCGAGTATAAAAAGTGTGACTTTTGCATGCTGTTTCCAGTGGCAGTGGTGGTGTCAACTCTGTATTAGTTTGTGATTAGTTAAAAGATTATGGGGAACATCTAGTGGTAGGTCAATGATAGGTCAATGATATTTGGAATGCAGTTGTATAAGTATTGGCACGTCTTATTTCAATGGAGATTATTTTGCCCTGCCCCCTCAGTCATGGTCTATTGACTTTGAAACTTAAGCTTAGTTTACATGTATTAGTTTTTGATTAGGTCAGTTTAAGGGGAACCATTAGTGGTAGGCCAATGATATATAATATTCAGATGTATTAGCATTGGCTCATCTCATTTCCATATAGAGATTATTTGGCTCCTCTCCCTCAGTCATGGTCTATTGACTTTGAATGATTCCATAGTTCACATGTATTAATTTGTGAGGAGATCCATTTAAGATAAACAACTAATGTTAAGTCCTTGATATTTAGTATGCAGTTGTTAAAGCATTAACCAGTCTCATTTCCATGGAGATTTTATGACCTCGCCCCATCTAATGCTCATTGACTTGTAAAACGTTTACAAGTTAAATTTTGTTTAGGTCAGTTTAAAGGGAACTAATTATGATAAGTCAATGGAACTTGGTAACGAAAATTGCAGAAGGCCAGACTTGGTGTTGTGTTTCTGGCGGCATCAATTGTAAATTTTTCTGCTTAAGTCAGTTTGATAGGAACTACTTGTGATAGATTAATGATATTTTCTGTAAAGTTGCATAACTTTCAGTACATATCAGTTTGATGACTATTTCGAGGCCCTGCCCTCTAGGTCATGGTCCAGTGACTTTGAATTAATTACTACTTATCAATTTAAGTTTACTGCTTACGATAGTTTAATAGGAACTACTTATGATAAACAATGATATTTCTATAAAGTTGCATTACTATCAGTACATCTCAGTTTGACATGCTGCCCTCTATATAATGGTCCAGTGACTGAATTAATTAGTAATGTTGCTGTCCATCAGATTGTCTTTTCTGAATTTTATGCTGACATGGGAGACATATCTCTGTGTTGAAATAACATGGAAAATTTACCTTCAACATTGACACAAAGTTGATGAGATTGACATCAATGGTGTAATCAAAAAAGAGACTGACAAATATTTTTGGGTTGAAAATTTCAAAAAGTAGGTTAAAATTTTTGGTCAAGGTAATTTTTAATGAAGTTGAAGTCCAATCAATTTGAAACTTAGTACACATGTTCCCTATGATATGATCTTTCTAATTTTAATGCCAAATCAGAGTTTTGACCCCAATTTCACAGTCCACTGAACATAGAAAATGATAGTGTGAGTGGGGCATCTGTGTACTATGGACACATTCTTGTTATTATCCAAATAATTTTGGGGTTTCCCTCTTTATATCATAGACTTTCATTACGATGTCATTTTGTAAGAAAGCTGAATACCTCTAGCTACACTTTTGATATAACCTATGTGATATTTGCTTTCAGACTGTAAAAAGAACAAGGAAGAGTGTTGGTTTTGTAGAGCCTAGTGCACCTCGACCACAGCTTGGACTAGAGTATATATCCTACCTGATAAAACATCCAACTTGTCAAGCTATTATTCTATCAAAATACAGAGACAATGTAGTAGAACTGATAGCAACATTACAAGATGTCAGGGTGAGACATAAACAACCTTGCACTGTTCTATAAGTACTGGTACAGCTGAACTTGCACTCGTATTAAGATTCTGTTTACAAATGTGTTGATAGTTAATGCTTTTAGGTCCTCTTCTTGGTTATTCGTTTGAAGAGATATGTTGTTTAAATGATAAAATATACCGTAAATTGGGTTATTTTGGTTTATTTGGCGCCTCCAATGAAAGTGCCAAAATTAAACACATGAAAATAAAGCAAACAATGAAAATTGAAACGCCAAAATCACGTACCGCTATGATAATATTGTAATGTTAATTGTAGGGAAAAATATTTTATCCTATTATATCTTCGGTATATTTCCTACAATTCTATACCAAATCTGCAAATAAATACCAGGTATAATTTGACAATAACACTACGGTATATAATTTTAACTTAATTGTCAATTTTCTAAAATTGTTACGAAGACACAATTTATTCACACATGTCATAAATATGTCAGACTATCGACATTGCTGATTAGATGCCATCACTGATCATTAGAATATCAACAGTCCTTGTAATCCTTGATCTTCAAAAATTAACATGTACTGCCAGAGGCATAAGGATTAAAATTTAAATCTTTGATCATCAATAGATAAACATGTACTGCAAGAGAAATGATGATTAAATATCATTTCATATGATATTTGTACTATATAAATAATCTATTTAAAAAATGATTTTAATGTTTTAGATTTTATTGTAAATAAAATGTATAAATTATGTTTTCATATTTTCTTTCAGCTTTGAACCCTGAGATATGGAATTATTTGCAATTACATCCATATCAGATTCTGTTATTTAGTTAACTTTGTAGTTTGTGTATATAGTTCATTGATATTTTGTCAATAAACTGGTAAATAAAGGCAAATATGAATGAGCTCGCTCACTACTATTGTGCCAACTTTGAAAAACATCAATTGGACGAAGCACCCAAATTACACACAACAAAATAAAACACATGCCTTTTGAGAGAAAACTGCCAAAAAAAACCAACGCGAAAATTTCTCAGTTTACAGTATTTTATTTTCTTTGAGTGTAAAGTATCCATTATGGAATTTTTTTTTTGTCTTGCCTGCGACAAAAGTCTCAGTGATTACACTCTGGTGGTGGCAGCGGCATAAGCTATTTGTATAAATATTTATAAATTTGAGAGTAGAAGACCTGGATGCTTCGTACCTTGTATACAGATGCCTTATGTCACAAAGTTTCCGTCTGTCATATGTCCTATGTCCTTGACCTCATTTTCATAGTTCAGTGAATGCTTGAACAAAATGTTTAGTTTTTTTTAGTCATGTAAATTTCTCACTTTTTATAAGTAATAGGATAAATATACTTGGCATATGGGTTTCTTGTGAGTTCTATATGTCCATCAGACAGAGTTCACCTGACCTCAACCTCATTTCATGGATCAGTGATCAAGGTTAAAGTTACATGATAAGGTATGTTTCTCAGATACTGTAAGCAGTAGGTCAACTATATGTGGTGTATGGAATGATTGTAAGGTGTACTTGTCATCTGGCAGTTTTCATCTGACTTTGATCTGATTTTCATGGTTCATTGGTCAATTTTAAGTGTTTTGGTCTGTTTTTCAAAAACAGTATGTCAGCTATATTTGATGTACATGATGTATGGAGTGATTGTGAGGTGTACATGTCTGTCTTCGAAGGGTTCACTTTGAACTCTACCTCATTTCATTGATCAGCAATCAAGGTTAATTTTTTGTAGTCAAAAGTCTATTTAAAATACTATCAGTAATAGGTCAACTAAATTTATGGAATGATTATAAGGCGTACATGTTCACTGGCAGGTTTCATCTGACTCTCACCTCTTTTTTCATGTTCAATGGACAATGTTGAGTAATTTTTGTTTGGTATACTTAAGCAATAGGGCCATTACATTTGGTGTATTGAATGATTGTAAGGTTTACTTGTTTGCCTGGCAGCTTTTATATGACCTTGACCTCATTTTCATGATTCACTGGACAATGTTAAGTTTTAGTGGTTTGGTCTGTTTCTCAGGTACTGTAAACAATAGGGCCATATATTTGTTGTATGAAATGATTGCACGGTGTACATATCTATCTGGCATGGTTCATTTGAGCTTGACCTCATTTTCACTGATCATTGAAAATGTAATGTGTATGTGATTCTTGTAGTAGCATCTTTGTATTACAGACTCTCAGCATATATCATTTAAGCATAGCAGGCTAGTCATTTCAGTGTGTGCAATATTGGTATGAAATAAGCACTGTACATTCTATTAAAGGTATATGTAGTTGGATAGGCTAGTTTTCTTGCTAATGAAAATTTTGTATATTTTAACAATTATGTTACTGTTACAGAAATGTATTGAGGGAAGAATGACAAACAGAATACCTACAGAAGGTGACGACTTTACAGATGATTTATTGGTGGAATGTTTTACAGTGTACCTAAAGTTACTTGTACTTCTGCATGATGATGTTAGTATATTGAAAAGAATTAGTTTTAACAAACATTTAAAAAAAGATTACCTGGTATAGTGCAGTATATAGAAAAACAGATTAAAAACATGTTTTTTAGAAGGGTATGCCTGCTTCATTAGTGGCACTTTTCTTCTCTTTTTTTTAAAGCTACTTGTTTTTCATGTTTAAATGATACTTGAGAACAGTAATTAGTGATAGAGACATTGGGTTCGGTAATGGTCATAGGACCATATGACCTATATAAATGTCAGTGGTCACTTATTACTTCTAACATTATTTTCCAACTTGCGCAAAAACCCTCAAGGACAAGAATATAAATATTGGACAAAATTTCAACAAAAACAAAATCTACTGTTTCTTAAATACCTTTTGTAGCTTTTACTTGTTCATTGATAAAAGTGATAGACTTGGAGGGATTATAGGAATCCATCTATGATATTAAAGAACTCAAGGGCATTTACAGAATCCAAAGAAAAAAGTAAAATCACAAAAATACTCAACTCCGAGGAAAATTCAAAAAGGAAAGTCCCTAATCAAATGGCAAAATCAAAAGCTCAAACACATCAAACGAATGGATAACAACTGTCATATTCCTGACTTGGTACAGGCATTTTCTTATGAAGAAAATGGTGGATTAAACCTGGTTTTAAAGCTAGCTAAACCTCTCATTTGTATGACAGTTACATCAAATTCCATTATATTGACAACGATGTGTGAACAAAACACAAAAGAAATTATACACTCAATGAAACTTGATCTGAAGCAATGATCAGTAGATTAGTAGTCCATTCGGAATCCATTTTTAAAATGTAAGAAATATGCCAAAATTTCCCATTACATTCTTAAATTTAAGCTTTGTGTTTACATTACATTCTAGTTCTTCTTCTTTTTCAGCTCACTTTGCCCAGAGGCCCAAGTGAGCTTTTCTCATCACTTGACATCCGTCGTCGTTTTCTGTTTAACTTTTACAAAAGTCTTCTCTGAAACTACTGGGCCAAATTTAACCAAACTTGACCACAATTATTATTGGGGTATCTAGTTTAAATAATGTGTCCCATGATCCAGCCTGTTAACCAAGATTGCCGACATGGCTAAAAATAGAACATAGGGGTAAAATGCAAGTTTTGTCTATTATCTTGAAAACCTCTATGAATAGAGAAAATCTGACCAAGCAGAAATGTTGAGATCTACCTACTGTCCTGCTGAAATCATCAGAAGACACTTTATTGGAGTTATTGCTCTTAAATGATAATTTTTACCAATTTTTGGCATTTTTGCCTTATATCTTAAAAACTATAATGGACAGAAAGAAACTTTAAATAGCAAAAATGATCACCAAGTCAAGATCTACAAGTAAGTCAAAATGACGGAAATTAACTCCTTATTGAAATAATTGCCCTTTAAAGATGATTTTTTTCCATTATTTTGCATTTTTTCCTTTTACTTTGAAAACTATAATAGATAAATAGAAACTTTATATAGCAAAAATTATCAGCAAGACAAGACTACAAATATGTCAACATAACTGAAATTGTCAGTTATTGCCCTTTCATGATGATTTTTACCAAAAATTAGCTGTTTTTGAAGATGCAGGTGAGCAACACAGGCTCTTTAGAACCTCTAGTTTGCTAAAGTTGCTTCCCTGTTATCAATTTGTCCACTGTAAGGAAATGCTACCCTGATAGAGAAAATGAAGTAATCATGAGGGACTTCTGTATATATGTAACCATGGTGTTCATAATTTATTGTATTTTTTTAGGGTGATAACAGTGCAATACTCAAGCTTGGTCAAGTTATTAACTGGAGTGATTCTCACCTGATACCTGTATTAGAATCACAAGATCGGTCAAGATCAAATAATTCAACAACAAGTCTGTCTTCTGAATCAGATAACAACACTCATTCAAATACACAAGATTTTACTCAAGGTGTATTTAGCCGTACTTTATATAATGTAGATGCTACGGTGTTATTGTCTGGAGGTAGATCCAGAAAACGCTCTATTGGAAAGGCAACACCACATGCAATTAACCTTGCTTCGAATGTAATACAGGTGAGAAAAATAGATAAAAAGCTGTATTGTTGTATATTTTAAATAAATGTAAAAACTGCGATATATGTAGAATAATGGTGACACCAAAAAGAATAGGAGCTCCAGTTAAATTTGACCCTTTTCCTAAAGATATTCATTTCCCAAATCTTCCATCCCTTTTTATCGAGCCTGCGACTTTTGTCGCAAAATCGAGACATAGTGATCCTACATTCCGTCGGCGGCGTCCACAAATATTCACTCTGTGGTTAAAGTTTTTGAAATTTTAATAACTTTCTTAAACTATCCTGGATTTTTATCAGAAGTTTGTTTATGATCATAAGATAGTATCCAGAAGTAAATTTTGTAAAAAAAAAAATCCTGTTCATCCGTATTTTACTTATAAAAGGACTTAATTTTTCTGCCAGTTAACATTACATTCACTCTGTGGTTAAAGTTTTTAAAATTTTAATAACTTTCTGAAAATATCCTGGATTTGTACCAAACTTGGACAGAAGCTTGTTTATGATCAAAAGCTAGTATCTAGAAGGAAATTTTGTAAAAATTTATTTCCTGTTTTTCCGTATATTATTTATAAATGGACTTAGTTCTTCTTCCAGTTAACATTACATACAGTCTGCAGTTAAAGTTTTTAAGACATTTATTAGATTCATAAACCATCCTGGATTTTTACCAAACTTGGACAGAAGCTTCTTACAATCAAAAGATAGTATCTAGAGGAAAAATTTTAATACTTTTTTCCCTATTTTTGTTGAGCCTGCGACTTTTGTCGCAAAAGTAAATCAACAGCAAAAGTAGGCGAGACACTGGGTTCTGCGGAACCCTTACGATTTTTTTGTTTGAAAGCAGCTTATAGTCTCGTATTGTGATTTTATTAAAAGAAAGCTAGAATTCTAACGAAAAGGCAAATAAGAGGAAGGACTTAAAAATATTATAAATCAATAAACAAAGATGCAATCCAGATTTAACCAAAGATTAATCATTTAATGGCAGATCTTTCATAGTCTGGATGATTTAGAACTTGACAAATTGTGTACGCACATTTATCATTTCTATAGTTGCAGACTGTATATTGTTTCCCTCTAGAAGTCTTGAGTTTTTTTGTGTTTTTGGATCTCTGTCCCATTTCTAAAACTATGGAACCAATCAAATTTTCCGAGAATTGATCCTTTGGGTGTCCAGTATTTATTAAGCAAGTAATTAGGGACCTGCCAAAAAGTCTAATATAACTCTAACATAAAATTTAATTCCTGATGTTATCTATAGAATTGAGATTAAATTTTGAAAACTAATCATAATTAAGGGGGTACCCAACACTTTGAATAAAATAGACTTGGCTAATTTTCATAAAATTTTGACAAAATATTTACTTTGACCTGTTGACAAAAATACCAAAATTTCAATAAAATTTGAACAACACAGTTTAAAGGAATGATTTCATTGGATATAGCAGTTTGACAAACACTGATTTTGATCATTGAGAAGCTGGATTTCCCTCTACTAATAGTATGTGATTAAAACATTAAGCTGATTTTTAAAGAGTTACCTCCGTTAGGTGTCCTGTACCCCTTAACTGGCACTACAATTTGTCTATGACATTCTTTTCCTGATGAACATATGCTATGTCACATATCTTATATATTGATTTTTTTTCATCAGTATTCTTATTTGTGTATTTGCCTTATACTAAAATGTGCAAGCAGGGCCCTTCCTGACCTGTTTGTTTTTTAGTTGTTTAATGTCTTCAAAACCATAATAGGTTTAACAATTTAACGGGACACAAAATGTTCAAAAGTGTATACCTATCTATCTTTATAGATTATCGTTGGGCATCTCAAAGAGATTGATTTTCTCGCTTGAGCCAGTACGGGTTCGAGTTGAGATGACCAATGATTATCTGTTTATCGCTATTTTACCTATGACGACGTTGTTAATTTCATTGACAACGGCACGTGCCCCCTTAGTTTCTAGCGATAATTTTTCATATCACTCTACTGTGCTGAGAAAGGAAATTATCAGTCAGTAAGATCAAAGGAAAATTTCATAAAATAGCGATAATCCATTTTATGTCATAATAATCATAGGAGTTTGTCCTTTTGTGATGATATTTTTTACCAACTTTAGCAAGTTTGCCTATTTAACTTGAAAACAATAATAGATGGACAGAAAGTATAAACAAAAAAGGCACTGGCTATGATTACGTTGGAAATGTAACAATAACAACAAAAATATTGTTACGTTGGACACCAATTGCTGGAATGCTAGGTTGGGTTAGAAACCGATTAATTACGAATTTAACAATAATATTTGTGTCTATGGTTATATAGTGTTATTGTTACGCTAATGTATTTCAATGTATGCTGGGAATTCTGTCCATCCAGCATGTGCTTCTGGGTGCATGTTTTAGTCCAACGAATTTGGGTGGAACCACTATAGGTACCCATCACAAACGAGTGATGCTGCAATGTGCATGTCTGTTTTGCAAACTAAACAGTTCCACTATGCAATTTCCCTTGTTGAAGTTATACCAGCTTTCAATGCCTGCCATGCTTCAGGTGAAAAGTAGTTTTTTTATTCTTGAAATATTTATGTTTTCGTCCCAAATTTTTGTTGGAAACATGTGATGCTGTTTTGGGAATAATTTCATCCATTGTTCAAAGTATAATAATGACAAAAGTAAGGGTAACTGTGCATTTAAATACATAGAAGTGAACACTTTTCTTCTAAACATCGAACCATATTCTTTAGCCCTTGGTACTACTAAACTAATATTTTCTTGAAGAACATTAAAACAGAATTCAGCAACAAAACTAAAGTTGGTTAAAAGTTTGATAAATCTAAGTTACCATAATGCAACGTAACAGTAGACACAAATATTATTGTTACGTTCGTAATTAATCGGTTCCTCACCATAGTATTCCAGCAATTAGTGTCCAAGTAACAATAACGTAATCGTAGCCAGTGCCAACAAAAGAATGTCCTAAAATTTAAAAATGCTAGCCATCAACACCTTGTAGGGCTTATTGCCCTAAAATGATATTTATGCAATGAGGCAATGGAGGATTATAGTAGTTTTAGGCAAAGTAAAATCCTGAAATTGTTTCCTAATGATTATCATAGTTGCCAACCTCTGACAATGACAAATTATGTCATGACATGACATGCCAAAAAGCGTGTGAAAACGTGTGATGTAGATGGGGACTTTTTAATATGAACATTATACAAATTTGTTAATACAAAAAACAATATTCTAACTTTTATTGTATTCAACAGTGGCCTGTTTTGCTGCTTTCAAAACAACACAACTAGGCACATATTCAAAACAACTGCCAGTTTGGTTAAATTTACATGATAACAATGCACACAATGTATCATTCATGTCATTGTTGAGTTCTGATCTGAATTCAATGTAAATCTTCTTTATAATTGAAAATGCTCTCTCACAGTCAGAATTGCTATTTGGCAGAACTAAAATAGCTTTAGTAAGCTTTGAAAGAATGTCAACATTTTTATGCCCCTGCGACAAAATGTCGAGGGGCATATTAATTTTCATCATCCTTCCCTATCGCTATATCAGCTTCCTCAACTTATCTGTAAAACTCGTATCCAGTTAGCGCGTGCAAGTGAGGAGACATTATCAAGTGAGCAGGACTTATCAACAAATTCTCACAACATATTGCCTTGTATTGTAATGGTGATAAGTCACCAAATAAATTCTTTTAATAAAATAAATTACACTTGCAGTACATATTTTACAATGAACCATTTCTTTTTTCCTAAAATTACTTTACATTCTGAAACGAGATGTTGATAAAATGTTGTCGACGGGAGTCTTGATAAGTTCTGCCGGGACTACTTTTTCAGAACTTAAATTATTTGACCTAATTTGAACTATTGATCTGACCTGTATTGAGATCAATCTATCGATACAAATGTCAACAATGCGGGGGTGGCAGTTTAAATTATTAAAAACATTTATAGTGAACATAAAATTCACAGTAAAACTTATAATAAAAATTGATTAATTAGATGCACATATATTATACACTCTAGGTTAAACATTTCATTTTAAATAATAAAATAGGGGGAAAAATCTACCACAAAACAACAACCCTCTTTCTGACAAGTCTAAAATACTTATTTCGTCTGCTAAAACAAAACAAAACAAAACAAACATACAAAATGGCTACTGACAAAAATAATGCTTTTGAAGACCAATCAAACAGACATTTTTTACTTCAATTCGGGGGAAATTCAGCAAATGAAAGTCAAAGTCAAACTGAGTGCATGTACATACATGTATCACTAATGTCAAATTATTTGAGCCTGAATTACATATACCAAGTTTTCTCAAATTGCTTGTAAAACAAAGAAAAATAATTGTTTCAAAAAAAAAAGCACACATACAACAATTTATTAGCATGTTCACTGCATATTAAATTGGTATCCTGAAAAATTCCACAAAAAGTCGCAATTTAATGTTTTTGTTGTGAAAAATGGTGTAAATCATATATTTTGGCTATATCTGTATATGTACATTGATAATTCACATGAAATAGACTGAAGAGGGCAAAATATTGAATGATTAATACAGGTAAAACATGTTAAAATTCCATTTATAGTATTTACTGTTTCTGTGTAACTAAGTTAGGATTTGAACCTAAGACCTTCTCATAAAGAGATGCTCTGACCCCTGAGCTACCTAGTTGAATACACTGAAAGCATAATTTTTTTTCAAGAAACATAAACATGATGTATCTTGTCATTTTAACTCCAAGTCATCAAAAGAATGATATTTCAATGTACATGGACAAACAGAATGCAGTGAAGCAATTTTGTATAATATTTCAAAAATCCAGGTGATCTGGTTCTGTTATTTGTCAATACAGAAGAAAATTTTGACATGTTTGAACCAAATATGTTTTCCTCAATGATAACATTTAGCAAAGCACTTATAGGAAATGGTACCCATAACCTGAACCAGAATACCGTCCCAATGCAAT